GGCTACAGACAGAGGCTGGGGCGTCACCACGATCAGGAAGAGGCTAGAGAGCTGTTTCTCAGTGCTTTTGTTTTGTTTCTTGTGTGTGACATTTTGTAATGATTTAAACCCATGGTTGTGACTTATCCACTTTGGTTTGTCTGTGGATGAAGAGACCCAGGTGGACAGATAGACAGGGTAGGCAGACAGACGAGAGACACACCTAGAGGAGGCAAAAGAGATTGGACGTGAAGGAGCCACCATTCCTGGTCCCAGGTTACTCGTTCTTTCACAGAGAGGAGCGGAGAGAGTGGGGGTTCTGCTCTGTCTTCATTCCCCTAGTTATTAAACCATCATGTTGCATTTCACTGGGCCTCACCGAGTGTGTCACCGAGGCAGGTTTAAGAGCTCACTTAATGTCCAGAGTGACCTTGACCTCCGGAGAGGCTGGTTGTGCGTGGGCGGACGGAAGGAGCCGTGAACTCAGGTAACCCGAGCATCCGGGTTGAAGGGTAGGTAGGCTGGGGTGAAGGCTGGGGTAGGGCCGGGGACTCAGGGCATGGGGGCTTCAGGGGACAACTTTCTGTGGCTGCAGCTCATCTGCCCATGCCAAGCCTTCCTCCCGGGGGTCCTAAGCCACCTCTGGAGGCTGTGATCTGATCAGTTGCCTTTGATGCCGTTGCTGCCTAATGAGCCTCGTCTGTAGATCTAGCTGTGATGTCATTAGCATCGCTTTGCCGTGGGCATCAGCTCAGGAGAGAGATTTTAAGCAGCCCCAGAATCCTACAGGAATTGTACCAGTTGACTTCATAACAAGGAATTCGCCTTCCTGACCTGTCAATTCCTACCAGCAGAGCAAGGGAGTGGCTTGGTCGCTTTAGCCATGCTCACGCACTCCCGGATCTGGGCAGGTCAGAATGTACCTGCTCACGGCCATGGGCACATACACAGGAGATTCTGAGCATTAAGGACGTCAATATTCTCCTACCATGAGATTCTACTGGGGAAATTCATCCACTGTGTGCTAGAGGATACAGATTTAGCCTAAAGCAAATGGCATTTATTTATAGCAAACTGTATTTGCAAAATGCTTTGCAGTTTTAGGGTTGTTAACTACATTTCAGGTTGGATGTTCCTCTACTTGTAAGAAAGCCGAGTGTCACAGCTGGACTGGAGAGCCTCCTCAGAGAGCAGTAGGGGTGAATTCTGGCAAACGGTGGGAGGGGGACGTACTGGGCATGCATTCTCAGAAAGCACCTCTGCAAATTTTACTCTTTTAACTTATTTCTTATGTCCAGAGACTGTGTACTTATTGAAATAGAATATTCATCTTACTAAGAGACAGCTTGATGTCTTAAATTCCTGGAGCATTTCTACCCATAGCTGAAGGAAGATATAGCAAGGACTATAAGAGGAGTCAGCACTGGAGGGAGAGCCCCTGTGGACCTCATGGAAATAGGTGGCCTCTCCTCCCTGCCTCTCTACCCACAAACCTCTCCACTCACTGCAGCCCACACAGCGGGGAGCTAAAAGGCAGTAAGTGTCAAAGATCAGACTCTCCTGAAGCTTTTAGGACCAGAAACTCTCTTTCCCAGACACGATGGGTGTAGGAGCTCTATCTGGCTGAGGGAGATTTATCTGGGCCTTCACCACTGGACTCCATCATTTTAAGGAGTATTTCCCAATTGTATCTTTAACTGCACATAGAAAATGCGTTTCCTGTTTGAAAAATCTCTCTCTCTCACGCACATCTTCATTCTTCTCCAGAACCTGAATAGATGGCTTTGGGGAGCTCACTGCTCATGGCTTCCGTGCAAATCCAGCTCCTGTCTTGACAGCCCCAACCTGTGTGATGAGGAGGCCACGGGGATCGTTTTGTCTCGCCCCCCCAGCAGGGCCCTGTGTATCGGCCTGAATACTTCCAGGAGATGGAAAATAAGATTCTGAATTAAAAGGAGTTCCGTGGCCTCCCAATCATCTTTGTCTGCACCCTTCCCTCTCCTCTTCACTCCCCAATCTTGTCAAGTATCTGGGGCTGAAGGGTATTGACAGGGATTAGCCGCATCTTGATGTTAATTGGAATAGCCAGAAGACAGCAGTGAGGGGAGCAGCCCCTCATGTTTGCAGCAATTACAAGCCTTAATGATGGAGAGCTGGAGGGCAGGGAGCTGTCACTCCCTGGCAGCCCACCGTGCTTGTGGTCGCAGTGCCCCCTAGTGGCAATGTCTGACTGTTGGCACGATGCGTCCTAAGGAGCAAGTCAGGACAGTTCCTGGGTGTTTTATCAAAGGTGAGAAAAAAAGGAACTTGGTGGAAGTAACTTCTACGTAACAATTTTGAGGGAGATTTGCATTTTCTCTTGCAGGCTCTGTTTTCCCTTAGTTACTGTGTCATCATCTCCCTTTTCACATTACATATTTCTCCCTAGGAGATCTCATAGGTATGTGATTGTTTTACTCCTTAATTTTTTATTATCCAATTGAAAAAAAAAATTGTAATTGCACAAAATTGTCCAAAGAGCCGAGTGTTACTTTTTTCTAAGTTTATTTTCTGTAAGGCCAAAACCTCAGCTCACACAGTTTGGTTCCCAGTGCCATTTGAGATTGGATACCACCATCTAGTGGCACTTTTGAAAATTTTTTTTCCCAGCCTCAGTGGAAGGGGTTCTCAACAAAGGAGGGCCATGGGTTGGAAAGGAATGCCCGATTGTAAGGGGCCTAAAAGCCAACCGGGAGACCTTCAGCCCTCTGGCAAAACTTCCAGGGAAATTTTTCAAAAATATTATTTTTTTTTTGCAAAGAGATACTGCATCTTTACTGATTTAAAAAATTTTATTCATTTTCCCAGTGAATGAAGGCTTGTTGGCCCATATCAGACCAAGGGTTCAAGGGCTTCGCTCCACCCTGCTGATTCCTAGTAGTCCATGTAGCAGACTGAGGAACACCTAGCAAGCAAGAAAGTCTTGTAGGCACCCCCAGCCGTGCGCCAACCGAGTGGCATGGACCTAAGTGTCAGTAGAGATGTCCTGTGGAGGAAGAGCTTTGGGTGAGGTGCAGTGACCTCCTGGGCCTCCTGTTGGACACCATCATTCTCTGGTTGGGTGTGTACAGCTCATGCTCCTGGAAGGACCCGAGCTCCACTCTGGGCCTATCATCAAATGCAAATGCTAAATAAATTATGTCCCATATTTATAGCCACTGAGTGGTCCTTGGCCCTCATGCTGAAGTCCCATGTCAGTGGGGTTGCTGGGTGAGGATGCCTGGTCCGCCCAGCATTCTCCTGGTGCTCATCTGCGAAATAGCAGCAGCATGGGATGCCTCATGCAAGGCCTCGTGCTTCCAAATGGGCTCACATTAAACAGCAAACGAGAGGGGGTAGCACAGGAGCTCCCTGGTCCCCTTGGGAGAGGACTCTATAAAGGTGGTGAGTCAGATCGCACAATGACCTTCTGGAACCACGTTGCAAATTCTTCCAACCAGTTCACCAAGGATCTGGCCCATCCAGTCTTGCGTTCTCAATGAGGCCAAAGACCAGAATCCACGCTCTAGGCATGCCCCTTGTTCTAGGAGCACAGTGATCCCTGAAATTGTTTCCTGACTGGGACAGGAACTGCTGAAAGGTCAGAAACTCTTCAGGAGCCCTGTGCTTTCTGCCAGCAGACTCCCTCAGAGTCGAATGGAGAACCCGGAGGAATCACTGGGAGCAGGGCTCTCCTGTGTGGTGAACAAACCATCATTCTCTGATGGGCAATTCCCAGGTTCGTCACCAAAAATCAACAAAGAGCTTCTCTAACTCCCTTCTACTTATCAAACAAGGGTGCAGATCTCTTTGAAAAAGCCAAAATGTCCTCCCGTCTCAAATGCATGATTAATTATAAAGCAGAGCCGTCCTGCTCATCCTTGGAATCAGACGAGCAGAGTCCAGTTCTAGCTCACACAGTACCTCAGCTGTGTGGCCTTAAGTCTGCGAGCCAGCCTTCTGTCCTGGAGGCAACACACCTGAGAAAAACAACTTAAAGGAGGAAGGATGTATTGGGGCTCATGGCTTCAGAGGTTTCAGTCTGTGGCCACTCCGCCCATCACTGGGCCCTGTGGTCAGGCTGAACATCATGGAGGAAGAAGATGTGGCAGAAGTAAACTGCTCAGCTCAGGGAAGCCAGGAAGCAGAGAGAGGGAGGAGGAATAGAGGTGGCTAGGGAAAGGTGTGGTCTCCGAAGGCTCACCTCCAAGGACTCCAACTAGTTTCCACCTGTTACAGTTTCTATCATCTCTCAATAGTCAACTCTGCATAGTCTCAAAAGCTATAAATCCATCAATGGATGAATTCACTGATGAGGTCAGAGCCATCATGATCCAATCACTTCCCCAAAGTCCCACTCTGAATGTGGCTGCACTGGGGACCGAGTCTTCCAGCATGTCTTTGGGGAATATTCCAGATCCAGGGATAACCGGGTTACTCGTCTCACTTCCCTCCTCTATAAAATGGGTCTGACAGGGAACCCCATGCATGCCATGGCTGAACGAGATCTCGAGCCCATCTCCTCCCAGCACAGGACCCATAGCCTTAGCTAGAGTTAGGATCAAAACTACTGGGCTGAGGATTTGATACGAGCGAGCCACCGCGGTGTGTGCTTTACAAACACTGTGTGGTTCATTCACTCCACAGAGCCAGAGGTAGGTATGACCAGGATCTCCACTGCACACGTGAAGAAACTGGGTCAAGGAACAATTGCTGTCATTGTCTGTGTTCCTGGTGATGGTCAGAAGCATATCCTAGAGACGCGTCCCTCTGGGACTGATGATTCCCAGAAAAGAACAACCTGGTCGCACACTTGGAAGCTCTGTGTCACGGGGAGGGTGTGTGCCCCAAATTAAGTGGAATGTCGGGATCACACACTTCCCCTCTCAGCTGCACTCTCTGGTCTCTCGAGGACTGGACCCGGGCACTCAGCGGCCATGAGGTCACGGCTGTCCTTGCTGTCCTGCGTCCCTCACTGCTTCTTTTCACTTTGTGTGTGGCAGGCAACTCCCCATCCGATGAGTCGGAGGAGCGGGAAAGAGACCCCAAGGTGCTGACGTTCCCAGAATACATCGCCAGCCTGTCCGACTCTGGCACCAAGCGAATGGCAGCCGGAGTCCGCATGGAGTGTCAGAGCAAAGGGCGATGTCCCTCATCTTGCCCCTTGTGTCATGTGACATCCAGCCCTGACACGCCTGCCGAACCTGTTCTGCTGGAGGTGACCAGAGCAGCCCCCATCTATGAACTGGTGACCAACAACCAGACCCAAAGGGTAAGAGGCCAGGACCCTGGGCTCTGGGGGGCACCATCAAAAAAAGAGGGCTTTCCACGCAGCCCGGGGAAGTGACAGGGTGCAGCAGGGCTCCAAGCTAGCGCTGGGATGGGGGGGCTTTTTGTTTAGCTAATCCAGTGACCTAATTTGCTTAGATTTGCATGTTGGCATATTAAGTCAAAGAGATGCATCCACAACACCCATGCAAATATGATTCAGGAGTCACAGCTGAGCACTTGTAGAGTCTTTGAGCCAAAAGGGCTGAATGGAAGTAAGTAGATGGGGAAGCCCAAGGACTGCACTCACCGAGGTCAGATTGGCTGGGGGGCCCCTCTCTTTGGTGAGGAAGAGGCTCAGCCCTGCCCCACCTTGTGGGCCTAGGAGGTGGGCAGCTCTCCTGGTTGGTTCCCAAGCCTGGGACCAGCTGTGTCTGGACTGGAAGGAGCTTATCAGGCACGGGTCCCAGAGGAAGGTTCTGGCGGCCTGGGTCTGGAGGGGGTTGGTTTCCTGCCCATCACGCTGGCTCTAAGAACAAAACGCCACATCTTTGCAGATCTTTCTGCCTGTGATTATGCTGCTGGGTCATGACATTTCCCAGCCACCCTCCTTTGCCTCTGCGTCTCCCTTTCCAAAGATGTCAGGGGAAAATGAATAGACCGGGGAGGAGAAAGGGGGCGGAGGTAGGCCTCTGACCTCCACAAGGACATACGGATCAGAATGATCCAAACAGACACACAACCACCACCAGCCCCACCAGCACAAGTCAAAGCAGGGAGTCCCTGGGTGGGACCACAGGCAGCTCCACAGCTGCTTACCTGACTGGGAGACGTGCCCATCCAGGTGGGGTGATAATTGCTTTCTTTTCTCTCTTTGAAGAGACACCTGCTGTGACACAGTTTGTTTCATAGGTGTTGCTCAGACCAACAGGAGGATTTTGTGTGTGTGTGAGTGTGAGTGTTTTCTCGCCTAGCGCCTCTGCCACAGATATTTCACTGAATGTTTGGAAATACATTTTTTTTTCAAAGCAGGAAGGAAAAGAAGAATTGTTCCCAAGGCCCACAAATTCCTTTTGAATCTGATCAAGGTGGCTACGGGAGAGGAGGGGCTTGAAGGAAGAGTGGAGGGGCTTAGGTCACCATGGAGACTCAAAGCTGCAGGGACTCCACCCAGTGCCAGGCCTCTCTTGCCTGCCCCACTTTGTCTTCCTTAGTGCTGCCACCTCTGACAGCTCAAGGGCTCCTGTGCCACCTGCCTGGGAACAGTAGGGTCAGAGAATTCACCAGAACCATCCTATGAATCAGGGTGCACAATGCTGCACAATAGAGAAGAGCTTGGTGAGAGGAGGATGCGTCTCTACTTTCTGGGGAGGATTGCAAGTAAAGTGAAAGTGCTGAACAGAACGTGTCCTCAGCAATCCCCGTTCAAAGGCCAAATATCATCCCTTCCACCCTCGGTACCCCCATGTTCAGAGAGAGTGTGGAGATGCCCTCCATCTGGCCATAATTTGAACACCTTAATTTCTAAACACACCACCAAGGTGGTCCCAGCTGGAGTTTGGCCCCACCGTGTGTTTCTTCTGCTCTCGTTGTCACCTGACTCTCTGCCATCCTCTCTACTCCGTGTTCTTTCCATGTTTGTTCTTCCTCCCAAAGAACGGAGACGCGGCATCAGAAGCTAAGGAGAACTGGAGGGGGGCTAAGTCGTGACATTAGTGACTCAGTGTGTGTTTTTATGTCCTCCTTCTATTGGACTAGATAATCTCTGGTGCCATATTTCAGTGTAACCCATAATTGTGATAAAGAAACACAATGGTGAAACCGTTTGGCCAACCCAACAAACTTGAGCTCACCATCTTGTGCCCCAAACACATAGCTGCTGGGCTACCATCTCAGTGAACGTCACTTTCTTCCTTAACTTGCCAGACTGGAGTCTAGAGATGCTTCCTGGATTTTCCTTGTCATTCCCAATGTCTGTTCCATTGCCAAGAGCAGCAATAGTCTCTTAAAACATACTTTTTATGAGATCTTTCTCACAGCCTATCTATTATAGTATTGGGCTGCCATTTATTACAGTAACCCAAAGTTATTATTTAATGTGGATTTCTGACCACATTGCACCAAAATGATTGAATGGCTCTGCAGATAGAAGGCATTCTGGAGTCCTTAGCACAATGCCACAGGTCAGTCCATGATCCTGCTTGTCTTCACGTGCCTGGGTAGGGTGTTCCTACTCTGTACCTTACAGGCCATGCTCAAAATTGAGCTCCTTGTGCCCCCTCAAACACAACACGTTTTCCATCGTGTGTCTGGCCCTGCAGACTTCCAACTCTGTCCCAAGAATGTCATCTCCCACATTTCTCAGACTCCTACTATCACATCAAGTTTCAGCCCAAACACCCAGAATCCTCCCTTACTCTTCCAACTCAGGTATCCATCCTTCATGTAATTCCCAATGCCTATGTGTCCATCTCTAGGAGCAGGGATCACCTGCCAGCAGAATTGTTCACACAGTTGTTGACTCCTGTTTAGGTGGACAGAAAGGCTTCATCTACAGCATGTCTAGCAGTGGCTGGTGCAGAGCTGACCCTCTGCTAAGTGGAAGAATAAATGATGGATAAGTGTGTAAGTGAATGTATAGATGAACATGGCTTGGAAGTTCAGCTATTCCCCTTAGAGAAACACAAAAAAACACTGAAAAGTCCAATTTATTTTCTGGACTTAGATTTAAATTTGATAACATGCAACTCATCTCAGAATGTAGGAACTAAGAAAAATGTGATTTCCTTTTTTCTTCCTTTTCTAAAGGGATTCTCCTTGACCTCCCTCTTGTCCTCTCATTCAACTTTTTACAGTTAACTTTAACCCAGGATTCAGAAAGCATAAACTCTCATGGAGTGGTGGGAATCAAAGGTAGAAAGTTAACGCATTTGAAGAAAGGACTTTTGTTTTTCCACACTCCTTTGGATGGAAAGTCTGGTCATGATGCTCTCCTGTTAAGACACTTTAATGTCTTATCATCGCTCTTGAAACACAGTCCCCTCCTTACCTCAGCCCATGTGGCCCTAGTAACCCAGCCCTGTCTCCTTCTCGCTGCTTAGCATCCCCCCTACTCTGTCTCTGTAGAGAGATTCGGTTGATTTTAGAATTCAAGTTTCATCCAGGCCCAAGTCGTCTTAATATTGTTTATTCTACCTGTGGCACTACTCCAGCATTGTGACAGGATGACTTTTGCCTATTCCTCAAAGCCCAGATGAAAATGTCACCTCTCACAGAGACCTTTCCAAACCCCTCCACGGGGTGACCCCCCCTTCCTTTTCCCTCCTGTACCATGCGCATCTCAGGGCCTTGCCTTTCCTCTGGAGTCCTCCGCTCAACTGTGAGCATCTGGGTATCTCCGTAACTTCAGTTTGCGTGTTCACCATCTGGCTGTAAGATTCACGCAGACAGGGGCCCTGTGTGTCTCGTGTGTCCTGTCCTTAACACTTGACACAGGGAACGGCCCTTCATAGGAGCTTACCAAGGAATAGTTGATTGAAGGTTCTATCTGGCAGCAGTCACAATTTGTTATTCAGCTGACCTCAAAGACAGTCTCTTTCCCTAGTTTTCAACCATGCACCCTTTGATTTGGTTTTGGTTCAGTTAGACACGTCACACAGTGAGCACGTGGTGGATGCATTAATCAAGAGCCTCTGATGTCCACCCAGCAGGTCATGTTGAGCTCAGGTCTGGGTGCTGCCCCCCTCACTAGCTGGTGACCCTGAGCAGGTCACCCAGCTTCTTCAACTCTCAGAATCATCCACTGTTCTTCATGATGACCAAAGTGTTAGCACCAAAGACGGCCTTCTAAATTACAAACTCTACAAAAGTGATCATCAGGAATTGATGTTCCCTAAAAGCTCCCACCTCTTCCAACCTAAGGTCGTCTACACTGCGCTCGGAAAGAATAGAACATGGGTTCCTGCTCCAGGTTGAGGTATTTGGGTTTTTCGTAGGGTTATCCTTTCCTCTTCCTCCCTCCCGTTCCTCTTTCTTTCTTCCTCCCTTCCTTCTTCGTCCTCTTCTCTTCTTTTTGAGTTCTTTGGTCTAAACTCTTGCAGGGCAGCTAGGCTTCATTTCCCCTGTTTACTGATGGGGTGTGGATGTGGAGAGCGGAACGGGGAGTCCTCAGAACAGCAATGGCTGCAGACGCAGAGGGGCCCAGAGGGAGAGCTCTGTGCTCCGCTGCCAGCCTGGAGCAGCCACCCCCAGCTCACCCTGACCCGGGGGTGAGGACCCCCACTAAGGGTTCAGAACCCCATCAGAATCCACCTTTTCACCCTGGAATTGCCTATTCCAGAGTTCTGTTACCTCAGTGGTCTAACTTTATCCACAACTGAATGGTAATCAGCTCCATGAGGGCCATTGTGCTGGGGCTCTGTGGCGGTCACCAGGTTCTACTGAGACTCCACCCTGTCACTTAAAGACAATAACAACTGATAGCATTTAATGATGACTAATGTGTGTCCGGTACTGTGCTTATGTTATTTCACTTGGCATGTATTATTCCACTTAATTGTCACAGAACCCCTATGAGGAAAGTGCTATTTTTATCCTACCTTATCACTGAGAAAACTGCCTTCATGTAACGTGCCCCAGGTCACATGGCAGAGACTGACAAAGCTGGAGTTCTCACCCAGGACACACTGACCCCAAGCGTACTTCTTAGCCTTTGTGAGACATGGCTTCCCCCCTCTTAACAGTCTATTGAGAAAGAGTTGCCTAATGCCCAACCACAGCTCAAGGCACAATTTGATGCATTTTGTAAGTGGTTTACAAAGTGTGCTGAAGAGACAGGAAGGGAAGACCAGGGCAAGATGAGGCGGGCAAATGAGGATGCAGATGGAGGTATTTGAAAAGGCAGAGTGCCTCTGGGCAGAGGAAGGAGTGGGGCAGGCCAGCACCCAGAGACATGTTGAAAGATGTCATTGTTCCTGGAGCCAGGAGCTGGGGGGTTGAGTGGTGGAGCCGCTGGGAGGGAGATGGAGGTGGAGCACATCTTGCCTCCAAGGTGACACCTCTCAACCACAGGGAGGAGCTGTTATGCTTAAAGGAGGGGGACCTCAAGGTTCTCCAGGGCTCAGCCTCCCCAGAATTTCTTATCCTGAGATAAGAACTATAGACAAAAAAAAAAAAATGGTGCGATGGTGACACCTTGATGCGCTCTCTGGAGATCAGTCTGGGTGACGCAGAGGCTTGATACGCCATCTCCTGGTCCTGACGCCCCAGCCCTGGCGGTCCGGTGCTCACTCCCTGCTCTCTTGTGCAGCTCTTACAGGAGGCCACCATGAGCTCCCTCTGGTGCTCGGGCACTGGAGACGTCATTGAGGACTGGTGTCGCTGCGACTCCACCGCTTTCGGAGCTGACGGACTCCCCACCTGCGCGCCGCTCCCACAGCCTGTGTACGGTTCCCTCGCTCTACCTCTCTCTTGTGTGCATGCCTCTGCATCAGTCTGCAGAGAAGTACTGAATGCCGACTGTTTACAGAGCAATAGGCTGGGTACTCAGGTGGCATGGTACCTGCTCTCAGGGAGCTAATCAAGAGATAATGTGACAAGTGTTACAGACATTTCAAGACAGTGTGAAGAGGAGTGGCTGGGGTCCAAATTTGGGCAATGGTGAAGGCTTCATGGAAGAAGGGGCACTTGAACTTCTCCTTGAATATGCAAAAAGAACAGCAGGATGGTTAAGAGGTTGTAGGGTCACAGTGCTGTTGAATGGAGGATGTTAGAGGTCTTCAGTGAGATCTGATAGACCACCAACACTCCCACCCATTACACACTCACTGCACTCCTGGCACTGTGCAGAGTACGTAGATGTTGCTTCACCCCCTCCCCATTTCATAGACTAGGAGATAACTTCAAATGGATTGGATAATTTCTCCAAGGTGATAGAGCAGGAAGTAGGGCCATGACCCAGAGCCATGTTCTCAGCTGCTGTTGTCAGTTTGCATCACTGTGACCCAAAGACCTGAGAAGAAAAACTTAAAGAGGAGGAAAGTTTATTTTGGTACATGGTCTCAGATGTTCTGTCCATGCTTGGCTGACTCCATAGCTCTGGGCCCAAGGTGAGACAGAACAACACGGTGGAAGGGCATGGTGGAGGGAAGCTGTTCAGGACATGGCGGATATAAACCTCATAGGGACACCTGCTTGCTCCAGCCATGCCCTACCTGCCTATCATTACCACTCAGTTCATCCACATCAGTGGTTTCATCCACTGGATATGTTACACCTTCCATTCCATTTCACCTGTGAAAATTCTTGCATTGTCCCACACATGAGCTCATATATAAACCTAATATATAAGCCATAACATCGTCCGTTATAATAGGAGAAGACAAAACTGATAGATGATTTGAGTAGAAATAACAGGGTCTGGTGAGTGTGCACCTAAGGAGGAAGGAGAAGCTGAGAGTGACCTTCAGGCTTAAGACCTGGCTGGCTGGAAAGAGAGAAGCAGCAAAGCTACGTGGGTCTGTGGAGGCCAGTTCTATTTGGGCTTGCCTGGAGCTGTGTGTGGGAGGGAGCGTGGGGGGTGGTCCTGCAGATGGTCAGTGGGCAGAGAAGGATGGAGCTCTGTGGAAAAAGTAAACTAGAGATAACCAGATGCCTGCCCATCCCCCCACATAGGAGATGGGCCCACAGCTCTGTGGAAGGATGCTCTGGAGCAAGTATTAACTCTGAGGAGCAGAGGGTTGGGGATGAGCATTAAGGGGTGTCTGCATTTGAGGGGTGAAGAGGAGGATGTGCTACAGAAGTGCCTGAGAATGAACATGTCCAATATCCTCCCCATCCAGGGAAGACTAAACAGAACAAGGCAAGCCGAGGGGCCAGGGCCCAAGGCAGGACTCTGCTTAGCCTCTGTTAGGGCATCTGCCCTGCTGGCGAAGCCACAGAATATGCATCCAAAACAAAGTGCTGGTAGGACACAATGGTGGGACAAGACCCCATGGGTTGGTAAAGCAAGGAATCCCAAAGCTAGTAGGACCCGTGGTAACTGAGGGCTGAGTAAGCAGAAGCAGGAGGCAGGAGGTGGAGGCCAGGCCTATTTCATGGAGTGAGGTGGACATTAAAGGCCCAGGACTGAGCAAAAAGAAAATGGAAAGAGGAGAAGATGCTGGTAGAGTGTCATTCCAAGCCAGTGCCTTCCTTCTCTCTGTGGCTGGTTTTAGATTCCCCCAGCACTGGCTTCTTGCTCTTTGTATCATAACTTGGACTTCCCGAGTCAAAGGAGAACCAAGTTCATTAGTAGTCCAAGTTCTTTCACTCAGGAGAAAGGGTGCATCAGAATCTCAGGCTGTTGGACTGACTTCCCAGGTAGAAAGCCACCTCTGGAAGGTCCCACTGAAGCCAGCAAAGCTGGCTTCAAGTAGACACGGGTCCACCATTGGCCCCAGGCTGGCTTCCTCTCTACACCTGCATTTACTAACTATCATAGCTAAAGAGCAGGTTGGGTTAAAATATCATAAACAGGAAATGTCTATTAGGTACCTCACTTTTCTTGTCAACTCTGATCACTTCTTTCAGTTACAAACATTAGTTTCCTGCATTTTAATTGGTAGTTGGAAATAGAAACACACTCTAATTTTACACAAGTCTGTGTAAATCGCACAAACTTCTATTTCTCAATAGGGGCTGGTCTTAGTCCATATTTTCACAGAATTTGAGTTCTCAGAAGGCTTAGTTAGTTACTTAAGCTGCCTAGCGCTTTTTCTTCAAAATAGTATTCTGCATATGACTCTAATTAATGAAATTTGTCAATATCCGCACTGTTTTGGGTTTATTCCATCCTAATGTCATATGCAAACTATGTGCTCCTTCATAGTAGCCACTAGCAGGAGAACATGTGTTTTCGATTATTTTCCCACTAGCTAAACCCCTTACTATTGCTCCCACAGTGTCCTATGATTTCTTGTTGAAGTTTTTAGCACATGTATAATTGTATATTTCTATTACCCACTAAGCTACGTAAAAGTAGGGGCTAGGGCCACTGTGTTCCTAGGATCCAGCACTTCCTTACAAGGAACAGGCACTTCATAAATATTTACTGAATTGAAATAGAACATTGCAGATGGTCTGAGATGATCCACAGTGTCTTGCCCAGTGGTCCCCGAGAGCAATGAGAGTCATCTGGGAGCTGAGTGGCGGGCAGGAGGGCCTGAATCACAGACGGTTGTGGGATTCAGAAACCGAGCACAGGAGTGAGTGGCAGGGATAATTGTCAGGGGCGGGGGGAGGCTGGAGAGAGCAGGAGCTTGGAAAATTCTCAGAATCCAGTGGTCTAGAAAGAAGTGGGGAACTGGAAGCAGAAGGGAAACCTGAGCCCCCTAGAAGAAGTCAGAACAAGGCAGTGAATCGAAACCACGCGGACAATCAGGAGGTCCACACCAGTGAACGTCAACAACGATTACTGAGGCTCTGCGAGGTACAAGGAGGTAAGAGATGGCAAGGCAGGGTCGTGGCCAAAGTGGACAACTCGCAAAGAATGAGATTTCAAATTGAGAAAAACAAGTAGATCCTGGAATGATAGCATCAGGTTCACAGAAACCCCAGAGCAAAGGCAAAACGAACCAGAACTGAACAGGCAGGTTTAGGACAGTGGCCAGGGAGAACTCGACAGTGTCCTCACTCCCTCTGAAGCCCTCCATGGGCACCACTTCCAAGCAGCCGGTGGAAGATGGGGAAGAAACAGGAGGGGGGTCAAGGATGACAAGACAGATCCCAGTGAGCTACAGAACCTAAACTAAGTGTGGCCTTGTTAATGCAAGGTTCCCTTGGTCACCACCTTCAGGAGGACACACATTGTCTTAAAATTTCTCAAAAGAAAACCATAAATTGTATTTTCAAGCCATATAAAGGCATACCTTTATAAGGGCTTTATAGGGACTCAGGTTTCCCTCCTGCTTCCGATTCCCCACTTTTTTTTAGACCACTGGATCCTGAGAATTTTCCAAAACTCCCCCTACCCATGTAACTTTCATTCATTTATTTTTATTGTCTGTTTATTTACTTACAAATGTTCACTGAGTTCCTAATCTGTAACAGGTGCTTAGAGGCATAAATCATATACCAAGGCTCTTGAAGAAACGGACTGTCTAGTGAAAGAGATGGGCCTCCAGGGAAACCATTTTAGTAGCTTAAGCAGGAAGAGCTGGGGCTGTGGCTCAGCCGTAGAGCGCTCGCCTAGCACGTGCCAGGCCCTGAGTTCAGTCCTCAGCACCACATAAAAATAAATAAATAAAATAAAGGTATTGTGTCCAACTACAACTAAAAAATATTTTAGAAAAACGAAAAAGGAAGAGTATACCATGTACCAGTTGAGAAGGTGCCCAGTGGCCAGTGCAGGTCTGAGCTGGGTCCCTGTCTCATGTCCCCTCCTGTCTGCACATAGGCTGAGACTCTCCACGGTTCATGAGCCCAGCAGCACCCTCGTGGTCCTGGAGTGGGAACACTCAGAGCCACCAATCGGGGTGCAGATTGTGGACTACCTCATCCGTCAAGAGAAGGTCACCGACAGGATGGACCACTCCAAAGTGGAGACAGGTGAGCGTGCCCTGCACGTGGACTAGTTTACGTCTAAGGTAAAAATAAAACAAAAGAAGCACACCCAGCCTCCGGCTCTGCCCCGGTCCCCGGGACCCAGAGCCGTGTGGGAGGACAGGGAAGCTGCAGCTCCTGTCTCTTCCAAGCAGCAGCCTGTCTTGTCCATTTAAGAGTCTTTGCGTGGTGAGCGTCCAAGAGTCTTGTTTTGATTTTGCCTCTCTTTTTGTTTATGAAAGAGGTGTCCATTTCATTGCCTCTAGGCCCACTCACAAAGAAACAGCAATACAGTATGCTAGTTATCCTCGCCCACAATTAGGAAACAATTCTCTGCTAACCACTCTCATGATTACAGAAAAAAAAATTTCTTTGCTAATAACCCCCTCCAGGCGAAAGCATGTACAAACAGATGCGCTGGCTCCGGTTTTGTCCCAAAGCAAACTCTGTTTTGTTGGGTCCAGCGGAGAGAGCCTTAAAGGAATGGAAAAGCACCATGAAAAATGTCCCAGGCCTTGTTATCTCCCTGTCTAGGCAGAGGAAATGGTCAACACCATCTCTGAGACTCATGCTGAGATGCCGTCCCCCATCAGGATGGCCATGTCCACACTCAGGGTAAATAGATTCTGGTGAACTGGCCACTGAGACACATATGGGTCCCCCAGGTGACTGCCTTCAGGCCTGGGGAGTGGGCTACAGCTTCTCCTGAGGTTCTTCTTCTGGGGTACACAGGTATCACTGAGGCACGGCAGTGACCCACCGGCCAAAGTAGCCAGGCTTTGTCCACTCCAAGAATGTCTCATGACAGAGTTCACAGATGTGGTCTGTCCGTTTCACCTAGGTTGTTTCTGAACCAGCTCAGGAAGAATAGGCCTAAACTGGCTAAATAAGAAACAGTTAAAAAAAAAAATCCTCTGGGTCTCTCCTCACCCCCTTTAAAAAAAACAAAAAACTAGGAATTTAAGGAGATTGGGATTGACCGATTTTAATAAGTTCTCATTCAGTTGATTCCATCTTGTCATTGTCTGGCCATCAGTTTCTCATGCCTTTTCCAATGCTTTCCCTCTGGATAGAAACGGTGTTGAGTTTCGTGGACGACATCATCTCTGGAGCAAAGTCCCCGTGTGCCATGCCATCTCAAGTGCCAGACAAGCAGCTCACCACCATCTCGCTCATCATTCGGTGCCTGGAGCCCGACACCATTTACATGTGAGTAACCCACCCCTGCCTGGAGATTCTTTGCCTGAAATGTTCAAGGCTCTTTACTGGTCCCCCTTAGCTACTTGGGTTCCTTTAGAGCCTTGGCAAAAGATTGGGAGGCTCTGAAGTCTTGTTCCCAAGGAGCCATTAGAGGGACCTTCTTGAATGCTTAGGCACTGGTAGGATCTAGGAAGACAACCATCCTGTCCCTCCTGGGCGTGGCAAGGTAGAGGACAAAGAGATCAACAACAGATTTGAACATAAGGTGGAATGGCTAAATGTTTGAAAGAAGAGCAAGGAACACACTGAAGAAAAAAGAGGGAAGCCATTCCTCCCCACCAGAGCCGATGGCCTCTACCCAGGTCCTTAGACGTCCACAGCTGGAGAAGCACGGAGAGGGGAACACAGGCTGAGGACACAGCAAGGGCAGAGGCGAAGGGGCACGAAGGGGCATGGAGGAAAGCAGCGAGTGGACCAAAGGGGGAGCGGGCACCTGAGTAAGAGGCAACGGAAGACACTGGGGCAGACAGAATTGGTGAACACCGAACGTCAGAGGAGAACATTGATTCTTTTTTTTTTTTTTTGAGGAAAGAACATCAAGAACTGTGCTTTAGAAAGCTAGCATTAGGGGCACTGAAATAATTTATAGAACTTAGAACTGGCTGGCATTTTTCTTCAAAGAAAGTACTGAGAATGACGCCGCGGCACTTGGAACAACCCTATTCTCTGGGTGAACTCTTCCCCGTCTCTCCCTGTGCTCTCGGAACAATCGGACAATATTTGTGAAGCAGAGGCGTAAAAGATGCCAAAAGAGGAGAGATCGCGATAGAATCTAAGTCATGATGGAAAAATCTGGGGGCGAAGGCAGAACTCACAGTGATGCGGTGCTGGGGCCTTTTGACCCCATCAGTATGAGAAGCATTTCACAGTTTACAGATGAGGTCACAGGAAGAGAGTCAGGGTTTCCAGAATAAATCATTTCCATTTCCACAGTGAGGGAGTTCAAAGACGAAAGGGCTGGGGATTCGAGTGGCACTGATGGCCGCGGGCTTACTGCTCTGGCTGAATACCTCAATGCACTAGTAAGAGCCGGCAGTGGAGGCCATGCATAGAGAAAGCGAAACACCTGGGGACAAGGGACGTCTGGAGGATGGGGACGTGGGTGCAGGTGTGGGTGGCAGTACTAAGACCAGGGGAGGCAGCCTGCTCTTCAAGTGATGGTGGACAGTCCTCATTCCTGCTCTGGTACTGGGCAGCTGTGGTCCTTCCTGGCAGGAGAGCCTGGGAAACCAGGAGGATCTGAGAACTCACACCACCAGCCCTGCCAAACCTCCCGGACTCAGGGAAACTTGCATGACCCTTTGTGAGAAGGGCTCAGGGGCTCCGGCCCACTGTCGGCTAGGGATTTTGGCACAGTACAGGAGTGCCAGGCTTTACCCAATCAGGGATGTAACTCATGTCGGCCTGATTTGGCTTTGTTTCCTGATCAGAGGTCACAGGCCCCTCCTGTCCTCACTCTACTCTCCTTGGTGACCCCCTAGTGCTCCCCTCCTGTGTCTTAGGAGACACAAACTTTCTGTCAATGTTGGTGATTGAAGGAGACCCTGCCTGCCTGGGGTTAAGGGAGGAACCGCCGGCCTCCACAAGGTGGCGCTGCAGATCATGGAGAGAGGGTGAGGTGGGTGGCCTGGGAGTGACTCCCCATTCTCAAAGATGCTGGGAAGCCTGTGCTTCAGGCCCAGGGACAGGGAGAGAGCCTGGAAGAGGAGTTGGGAACATGTGGGGCCCCAAGCCTGGTTTTGTTTCTAGCCACCAAGGGACTGTAAGGGCCTTAAGCTTTCTGCAAGGGAGCGTTCTTACCTGTAGAACAGGAGGAAGGCAGCTGCAGGGGAGCTGACTGGGTGCTTTATCCTGGGTGTGTCTGGGAATCCTCTTTGTCCCTGTGAGCTTGGAGTTATTCCCATTTTAGAGTTGAGAAAACCTGTTGAGCAAAACTGAGTAACATCCTCAGAATCACGCGCAGCTAGTTATCTGGGGTGTGGACGATGGATAGGAATTGGATCAGGGTCTGGGTTTTTTTTCCCACGCTGTGTCTGACCCCAGCCGCCCAGGTTACAGTGAGGACCTAGCAGCGCGGTCTGACTATGGCACACAAAGGCAAGAGCTGGCTTCGAGGGCCACAGAGGGAAAGCTGCCTCCAGCCGGCTTCCTTAGTCCTCTGATGTATTTTATTTAGTGCATTTTTAAAAAGCCCTCTTCTGAGAATGTCCACGGCACAAACACGGTTAAGAACCTCAGGTTGAGAGGAATCCTAAAGTGAGTCCGTCCAACCCGTTCCCCTTACAGAATGGGAAGGTGGCCCCCAGGCCGCCAGCCCACTGTCCCCTCATCACCACACCCACCCACAGGAGAGCCTCTGCCTTCTGGACCTGTGACAGCAGACAGATCATTCAGGAATGGGATCAGCAGACACCAGGCCTGGAGAAGGAAAGCAGGCAAGCAGCCTGACTGGAGGCCTGCGATTACCCTGCGCGTGAAGTTCCAGGCCTCTCAGAGCCAGCTCTGGAGCCAATCCAGCCAGTGCCGCACGCACACACCCTCAGCAGTGTCATCACCACAACTACGCACAGAACAGTCCCAGCCCCGTGGCCAGGGCAGGAGCCCAGAAGCTTCAGACGAAGCAGTAAATGGACTTACACTTGAGCCCCCTGGATTGGGAGCAGGGCTTATCTCTTCTACCCAGTAATCCCAGCTAACCCTCTTACTGTCCTGCGAGTGTTCAATGGTGGAAACGATAATGCTAACAATAAACAGAGAAGCCTCCCTGAGATGACAGCACGTGGCGTTTCCACTTGAAAATGTGCCCTGTGCTCCTGGCCCTCACCGGCACAGCCAACTGGCCGCTCCTCAGGATCCCCAGGGCCCGAGGAGCTGGGCTGCCAGGGAGGGTCCTCAGGCCCAGCTACGTCTTCACTGGGAAGGTTGCACGGAGCATTTCCTCCCTAGTATTTGCTTCATATTAAAAATAAAATATGCTTAAAAATAAAAGTGGTTTAGAGCTTGGGAACCTAATTTTTACAATCATTGCCCAGAGTCATGTGAGAATTGGTGAAAGCACAGGCACTTTCGTTCCAACTGGAATTTACAGTCAGGCAAGGTATAACACGGAGCTGCCCAGAGGATCGGGGCGAGCTTGGAGTTGGGAAGTGAGTCCAGCCAGACACCAAGTGAGGCTTCATGGGGCAGCCAAGTCGGTACCTGAGGCTAAGGACGTTTCCCACCATGGGCCAGGGAATCTGCCTGAAATTATGGGACTAGGATTGACATGGTGGGCCACAAGGTGAGCCTGCTAGAGGATGACCAGACTGCAGCCCTGACCTGGAGCTCCAAGGCCACGCTTAGGGCCCTGGAAGGAGAAAAAGCAAAGAAAAGCAGGACTGGATTGCAGGGGCCCAAGGTATGTCGGACCTCAGCCATAAATCAGGGAGAACGAGTGCTGGTGGAACCAAGAGAGCCCAACAGGTTCCTGCCCTAGCCCAGGGCCATGCCAGCCCTGGGGCAGCAGCCTGGGGAGGCAGGGCTTCATGCCTCCTGGTTCCGAGAAGAACAACTGCAGGGTCAGGGAAGCTTCCACAACAAAGGCCGAGCCACCCACCCTGGGCAGGAGACGACTCCCCCACACCAGGGGCCCTGGTCAGAATCTCAGAAGTGAGAAAGGAGCTCCCTCCCTCCCTAGAGGAGGCTTCTCTCCAGGTTTGTGCCACACTAGATCCTTGGACTTTGTGTCTTCCTGTACTTTGTAAGGGCCCCCGGGAACTTCTCAGCATGGGATCCAGACCACGAGCTGGGTCCAGCCCTGGGAAGCTCTGCTAAAGGTGGCCTGGAACAAGTGTGCTCCAAGACCAGGTGTGAGGTTAGACTCCGAGTGGAACTGGTGCCAGGCAAGTCTGATCAGGGCACCAGCTCCTGGGTTTGGTGTCCTCACTCGTAATTCTAGAAACAGACCAAGATGCTGAGGATGCATGAGAGGAAAGGCCATGGCGGCCAGGGCTAGCCCAGCACTATCCCTGGGAAGCGTGTGGCTGGTGGCAGGAGGGAGGGTGGCAGGACCCCCAGTTCACGGGTCAAGGTGGAGGTTGGTGCTAGGTGAGACCATCGACCACAGCAAAGGAGCACAGGCCAGGGGACTGAAGTGAGCCCTTGCAGACAGGGTGGGGACGCCGAGTGCTTGGTCCTGATTGGTCAGTGAGGGGGCGGGGAGTCCTTTAGGAATCCAGCAGCTGTGATGTGGGCTGTACCGTGCTGGACCCAGGCGGGTCACCACCTGCAGGGTTGCTGGTGGATGGAGCCCGCTCAAGAGTCCCTGTGATGCCCGTGGGGGGGTTCTGGGAGGTAGAAGAGGACGAATGACATCTCCCGGCACACGGGTCCTGGCTCCGGCCGTTCTCCGGGTCTCTTTGTGGAGAGGGAGTGGTGGGCGTGAGGAACACGTCTTTCCTGAGAGTTGTTAGGTCACCTTCACCAGGTCAACTCTGGGGCCAGCTACCGTTTACCTGGGCCACGCCACCTTGTGACATCTCTCCTCCTTTCACCCCTGTCCCTCCCTGTGATTCTGCCAGGAGGAATAAAAGCCCACATTTGCCAATAAACCCAGCCTCCTGTGGCCACAGTGGAGGGAAACAGGCAAAGAGGGCAGCACTCCTGACGTGCTGTAGACGCCCGACCTCTGGAGGCCCTGGGACACAGCAGGCTTCGTTCTCTGGGAAAGTTGAAAAGCCTCCGAGTCACAGGCCCTGGGCTCTTCCCTCTCCTCTCCGTCCAGCTCCATCACGGGCAGAAGTTCTGCGTGCAGTCTCTGATGGCCAAGTCCCCACACTGCTCTGGAGGTCTCATTGGAACATGTCTTCACGCTGTCGGGGCACAGCCTCCCTCTGGGTTCCTGGGTTCCTGGCCCACAGTGGGCAGCGGCTCGGTGGGGCAGAGAGAGCTGCCTACGGGCCACGCAGGGACCAGCCACCAGCAAGCTAAGGGACCCTCCACTCTGGCTGTTTTGCTTCTGACTTTAAAGACAGAATCTGTCCTTGGTTCCTGCATGGAAGTGTCAGGGTGCGCAGGGCGGTGCAGAGCAGAGCAGAGAGGGTTCATGTCATGTCACCATGTGATGTCCCAGGTCTTTCTGTGCATTATCATCTCATCTCACACTGAAGCCACTGACCTTATTATCATCTCACTTGAGAATTAAAGTTCAAGGAGTTACTGTGACTCCACGTGGCCAAGTTCTGACCATCTGTTTCCAAAGACATAAACTCTCCTGCTCAGTAGCTGACATAATTAAACCGGCATCGGAATCCCCTGGAAGGGAGGCAGAGGTGATGGAGCGGGTCTGTAGGTCCTCTACTCGGAGGCCAAGGTGGGAGGATCACTGGAGCCCGGGAGTTCAATACCAGTCTGAGCAACATAGAGAGACTCCATGTTAAAAAATGGAAAAAAAATAAAATAAAAAAGGAAGGAAAAGAAAAAAAAAAACTAAATAGAAGAGAGAAGAGCTGGAAGGCCTGGTAAAGCACAGGCTTCTGGTCCCAGCCTGATTCAGTAGGTCTGGGGTGAGGCCAAGAAAGCTCCCCCAGGATGCTGAGGCCTCAGGAGGACAGCAGGGCCCACACCAGGGTGCTGTCCACAGACAATGCACTGGGACAGCAGATTCCAGTCCCAGGCCACAGGAAGCAGTGAGGCGCTGTGGGCTGGGTGCTTCTGACCTGAGTGATGGTGGTAGGTGGCCTCAAGATGGCAACCGCAGCTGGGGTCACAACCTGCCCCTCAGGAGAGGCTGGGCTCCACCAGGGCTCAGAGCCCCCACCCCGGCCTGTGTCCTCTGCTAACGCTGCTCCGCCTCCCTGCCAGGTTTACCCTGTGGGGCGTGGACAACACGGGCCGGCGCTCCAGGCCAAGCGACGTGATCGTGAAGACCCCGTGCCCCGTGGTGGACGATGTCAAAGCCCAAGGTAAGAGACCAAGGTCAGCATCGTCCGCAAGGTGTGCCCAGAGACCCCCCTGCTATGATGGGGCCACAGGTGTCCTGCAGAACCACCTGAAGGGGTGGTCATGGGAAGGGGAAGACAGCAAGGCCCAGCAGATGCCCAACTTCCCAGCGTTCCTCCTCAGCCTCTGCCCTGCGCCATGCTATACGCCATCATCCCCCAGGCCAGGGCCAGGGAGGCCCAGGAGGCACTGAGGAGGCCCCAGCGCCCAGCGCTTAGGTACGTGCCTGGAACCTGCAGCCTGAAGGTGCCCGCGGGCCTCTTCTTACTCTCTGTGAGTCTGATGTTCTGAACCGCAGCGGAGCAAGGCTGCGGGTCAAGTCATCCTTACATTCCCCCTCCCCCGCCCTTTCTCCCTTTGCAAGTGCTTGTAGCTCAGTTCTCGGTTAGACTTGTCCCTCTTCAGTACAAGCCCACCTCCCTGAGACACATGCATGATCTCATACCCGCACGCACGTGTGCACACACACACACACACACACACACACACACACCAGGATTGGCTTGGCACTTGGGAAGATTTGGTCTGTTTGTCAGCATGCATCACTCACAGGACGCTCCCCACGATCTCCTGCTCTCAGGTTTTCTCACCCCACACACCTAGAATTCTCTCAGCCTGGTCACCCTTCTGCAGGGCTCCACACTAGTGAAAGTGATCTGATCAATCATCAGTGTCTATCGGGTAGAATCTACCTGATGGCTTTGGCCTATCGACGCAGACATCGACCCGTGCCGGAAGAGTAGGCTGCCAGATTCCAAGAGGATCACCTTACTTGGGCTCCTGACTCTGGTTGTCATCTGATTGATCAGCAGGGTCACAATCCCAGAATGCCAAAGGGTGACATGAGGATAATGCGAAGTCAGGCAGAATAGCGACCTAGACCTGCTTTAGTTAAAACCACCGATACCGTAGCACTGTGCGACTTCTGAGAACCTTTTCAGGTTTAACCCACGTGGCACATTGAAGGTGTGATTTCCATGCAGACTCCTTAATAAATTGCCATTCCCCTTATGACAAAAAATAGTTAATAGTCAGGTTAGAATTTCCATGGATGGCCCTTGTCCATCAACATCTCCAACACCTCCTTGCCCACCCCCTGCCCACTTGGTCAGTCTCTGCATTCCTTTGCACAAGTTGGTCCCATCACTTCAAGCGCTCCCCACCCTCACTCCTTCCGACAGACTCATCTCAGCCTGCATATCCCAGATGGCGTGGCTTCCGCAGGCCAGGAGCGGGCAGGAGCCACGGTCAGGTGTCCTTGTTTCTTTCCTTCAGGACGTCCCTTCCCGTTGCTTACTATAACAGCCATAATGTTTGTTGACCTCACTAGAGAGTGAGCCCCATGAGGACGGGAGCCCAGCTTCCTTCCTACACCATTATATCCGTATCACCTAGAAGGCAGCGTGGTTGGCTGGCTGACCTCGGAACTCAGTCCTTGGAGGCAACAGCTCAAGTTCACACTCCTACTCCATCATCTGCTTTCTTGACCTTGAGAACTCAGGCCTCAGTTTGCTCATCTGTGCGCACCCCAACCAATGAGGTTCTAGTGGGAACCGAGTTAAGTCATCTACAATGATGATTTAAAAAGGTACATGAGTGCCTAGAGCCTGCTCTTCAGTAGGAACTCAGCATTTTCAGAGTTAAAGGAAAGTGAATTTCATAGCTGTGGAAACTGAGGTTCAGAGTAAGTCAGGGGACTATCTGACCCCGAGTCCCACTTTTACTCTGTTACACCAAACACCCACTTTTACTCTGTTACACTAAATATTCTGAGGGCTATTTTGCCAAAGATTGAAAACTTTTCCTTTATTTCTAAATGTTGATGAAAAATGGAAGCTTACCTGGAAAAGGAGACCAGAAGCTTCTCCCTTCAGGATCCTGTGTGTCACTGGGACATGCTGCGGGATGGACTGTCCCCAAGGGGAGTGTCTGGGCAGCTCAGGGACCCTCAGGCCTCCATTTCTTCCTCTAAGCTGCAGGGAAGCAGGTGACCACAGGTGCCTCAGCTTTCTCTGTGCTGGAAAGGTTGCAGGTGACTTTGCAGGTGGTGGCAGCCACCGTGGTTTCTGCCGAGTAGGTGGCATGCTGGAGAGGACAGGGTGGGGACAGCAGGTGGCAGCGAGGTAGCAGGGTGCCACCTGCAGGGTGCTTGGTGGGAAGCAGTTGGCCAGGCACAGAGCTCGACCCTGTTTTGTCTGGGGCTCCTTGGGGTCAGCTGCAGTCCCGCAGGGTGGGTCAAGATGTGCCCTGCTTGTGCTGCCCCCGGAAAACTCCCTGGAATCCCAGCAGACCAGCTCGGGCAAAAGAGCCAAGTTCGTGCAGAGAATGAAATAACCCTTTCAGGCCCTGCACCCTTCAGCCTGGAGCATTCCTGCACCAGGCAAATCTGGAGATTAACGAGTTGGACTAATTGGGGGAACCTGGCAAATTAATAAGCTCTAGCAGTTCTGCCGAAAAAGCCACGCGCCTCCCTCCCTCACACCCAGATGGAGACCATCAATATCAGCGTCCGCTTGGGTCTGAGCTTAAATCTAATAACAAATGGGAATTGATTTTTAGTGGCCCCGAGCATGGCTTCAGCTCCTAATTACCCAGCCAGAGGCCAGACGCTCCCCTTTATGTGAAGGTCTTTCCTAAAGGAAATTCCTTCTAGGAATTCTTATACTGTCAGGACGGTAAAGCCACTGAGCATTTGTGCTCCATCTGGGGGCGCCAGCGATGGCCACGTGTGCCACCGAGACCACCCAGCCCCAGCAGGTGCCAGCTCGTGGTGGTGAGCTCGTCCCCAGGCCAGCGTGAGGGTGAGTGCCAGTCCTCCTCGTCACCCGGCTGCCCTCCCTGGCACCAGGCCTCAACGCAGGGCCATTCCTTTATCTGCTGCTTCAATAGCTACCTATCAATCCTGGCATTAGAGGCTGAAGAAACACAAATAATCAAACTTGATCTATTTTTTGAGAAGTTTATCATCAGATTTTATGGGTTTACTTTCTAATATTTTAATTATTATATTATAATAATTTGTTGGATAAATGAATGTTATATTAATGTATCCAACAAATATTCGGTCCTTACAAAATACCTATCCCAGACATTAGGTACAAGGCCCTGGCCTCCTGGAGGTCATATCTGGGCAGGGACGATAGAAGACAGCAACCAGAGAGTGAAATAGCTCCTATTTTAGCTGATGGCGGATCTCATGGAGGTCCCTGTGTGGGGTGGGGCAGAGGAAGTGCCGGTGCATTTTGGCTGCAGTGGCTTGGGCAGAGGTGAAGGAGGAGGCCATAGATATCTAGGGGACATCATACCAGAAGCAGCAGTACCGAGATTCGCGGCTTGTTGGAAGAGGAGGAAAGCTTGTGGCCCTGGGTTCATGTTGAAGAGAGGAATGGGGCAGGGCAGGTGCTCCGGGGCTCTGGGGCAGGTCTGGTGGGGCCTGGTTGTCATGGGGACTGGATCCTGGGATTGCCCTGGAGAGCCCCGAGGGCTCTGAGCAGCATGTGTGATGATGGCAAAGGTGCCAGGAATCACGCTCCCTGCCACTGTCCTCCTCAGCAGAGTGCCACTCCAGAGCCTGAGACCGGGCCCTTTCCCCTTGTAAGAACCAACACAGTGGCATCAGAGCAGGGCAGGGGGGCGCCCGACCTCCCCGGCCAAGCTGCTGTCTGACCCCATTTTCCCTGCCCTGGTCGTTCCTGTCTGAGCCCCACTGCTGTCTCCCCCTGAGTAGCTCTTAGAACAGCCCCCTGCTTCCTTCTATCTCAGATCCGCTGACTTTACACCTAGGTCCAATCAGAACCACGTCCACTACCAGAGACAGTCACTCCAGATTCCTCATCCCAAGACTGGGCCTCCTGTGCCTTAAACTGGCTACACACAACCCACTACCCAGTGTCAGTGTAAAATAGCAATGGCAGAACCTTAACTCCAGCCTAAATTGGCTGTGTGACCTTGGGCAGGTAACTGGGCCTTTCTGAATCTCCTTTTTATAAAACAGGGACATTTAAATCCATCTGTAGGAAGGTGAGAATTGAAATTCAAGTATGGAAAGTTCTTGGCACTCACAGGACTTTAATAAATAACCAGAGACACCACAGATCATCATCTTCTAGATCACTGTCCACTTTACGTCTTGATCCCATTTTAACAACCTGAAAATCTGCATGATTTATGATGCAAAATTATTTTTAGTGCAGCGAAATGTGTCGGCTTTAAGTTACGTTGCCGAAGTGGTGACGTAACCTGCCCGAGAACCTGTCCCTGAATGGACTCATACTGCACCCAAGGTCATGAGTCCCATGAACTTAGCCGACATTTTTGACTCACTGTATTTTCTGGCCCTGTGCTAGCTCCTGGGACACAAGGAGTTCTGATCTGGCTCTGTCCTCACAGACATGGACAAGTTAGACAAGCCAGACAGCAGCTGCACAGGACCAGAGAGTGAAATATCTCCTATTTCAGATGATAGCACAGCCATGCAGGGCTGTGGCACAGAGCGGGCTGCTGTGCCTTCCTCTCATGGAGCCTCAGGGGGGCGAAGGCTTTGGCTCCCGGGGACGTGTTTCTTCATCCCTAGAGTCAACGCCAGGTTGAGACAAGCCTTGCTTCCCCAGCTCTGCTCCCGGCCGTCAGGGAAGACCAAGTCAGTGTGTCCCTCTCTGCAGCTTTAATGAGAAGGCGTGTATGGTGCAGTGCTGTGAGCTGCAGAAGGAAACATTGTACTGAATCATGGTCCCACTGCCACATCACCAAACTCAGGCCTCTTTGAGGCCAAAATACTGGAAAGATAAATTGCACTGAAAGAGGGCTCACGTGGAGCTGCAGAGTGTTCTAGAGGCCACGTCTGCATGGCCGCGGGTCTGCGTGCTGCCTTCTGTCTGGCCTAGGGGGCTCTAGCAGAGGTGCTGTCTCCACAGTACTGCTTCCTGGGGTCCATGCTGCTCACCAGTGACCTGCTGGTGCTTCACTTCCTCCCTGAGCAAAGGCCACTGGTGGCTTGGGCCACCGTCACTTTTGCAGACCACTGGTACCCAGGCACGTGCAACCTAGAAATGCAGGGCTGTAATCCTCAGGGAGCAAACTTGGACCGGTCTTGGACGGGAGCTGGTCTTCCTTTCTTTCTTTCTCCCTCTGGAAAGAACACTAGGGATCCAGTGGTCCAGACAAAATGCAGCAGCCACTTCTCAGGAGGACGTGGCCAGTCCCTCGGAGCACCTTGTGTACTCCTCTCCCTGTTTCTTGCCTCATTTCTCTTTCTCTTTCCTCCTGCTTCCCTGGGATTGCACCTGCCAATCAAGTGTGAATATTCGAGTTTTTGCCTCAGGTTACATATCTTTAGGAAACCTGGGTAGAGACAGAGTATTGTGACTGAACTCGACCTTAGAGGTATCCTAGTTGAACACTTTTATCTTAAACAAGATAAAACTGAAGGTTGGTGGGGCAGAGGCAAACTGAATCATACAAACCATTTTCTCCAGCCTTTAGGTTGGATATTCTTTAACATCACACACGCATACACACACACACACACACACACACACACACGAACGTGTGCATATGTAGACACATATGCATGCATATACACACATGTGCATATATATTAAATATGTGAAACCTTATTGATAGTCACATGCTGTGGAACTCTGTTTTGGTCAACGCTGGACATGTGATTTATAGAGCAGTGGTCCCATAAGATTATAATGGAGCTGAAAAATTCCTGTCTTCACATAGTGATGTTGTGGCATCATGATGCTGTAGCAGAATGCATTCTTGTGTGTTTGTGGTGACGCTGGTACAAACAAATCAGCTACACTGCCAGTCATACAAAAGTCTTGCACATGCACTCATGTGCAGAACGTAACACTAGATCGTGGCAATTGATGGCTATGTTATTGATTTGTATATTTACTATATGCTATTTTTGTCATTATTTTAGAGTACTCCCACTTGTAGAGGGGTTGCGCCAACCACAGCTGCATACATCTCTTGTTCACCACATCCCCTGACACACCCTCTCTCTTGCGCCTTAATCTCTTCTTGTTTCGTGCATCATGACCTGGGAACCTGTAGTCCACATGGAGCACAAAGCCTAGGTGTGCAGTAAGCCGTAAGCTCTAGGTTTGTGCAAGTCTAATGTTTGCATAATGTTGAAATGTCTCAGACCCTCATTAAAGGATGCATGGTTCCTTTGCTTTTTCTTCCCTCCTCAGAAATAGCAGATAAGATCTACAATCTCTTCAATGGCTATACCAGCGGGAAAGAGCAACAGACTGCCTACAATACCCTCCTGGATCTGGGTTCCCCCACTTTACATCGAGTTCTCTACCACTATAACCAGCACTATGAGAGTTTTGGAGAATTCACCTGGCGGTGTGAGGATGAGTTAGGCCCCAGGTAACCAATGGACTGCACTGTCTCTTTTAAAGTTTCTTTCGAATTTTTGTACTTCTAGCTCCATAATACTGTTGCTGAGATTTCCTGCATGAGCTTAGGTGCTCAGAGAAATAAGTCGTCTGCTTTCTGATGGCCTTGGTCATGCAGATTAGTTTGTAAAGCTCCTTAAGCAGTCAAGTCATGAATGCATTTCCTGAACTCGGGAACCCTTTGCTCCTGACCTGCTTTGCCCTCTGTATCATGCCGATGCTTAATTCCAAATGCCAAAACTGTAGGAGCCCAAAGCTCAGTCTTGGGAAAGGAAATTAGGAATTTATCAAGAAGTTTATCCAAAAATATTTATTGCACAAACTTTGCATAGTTATTTGCATAGTTCAGACCTATTTTGAGTTAAATTCCGCATTCTCTTGGAAAGCAACATGAGAGTTGTTAAAGGCCCTCCTTGACCTTATTTTGCCCTAAGTTGCAATGGCACAGGGCTTACCAGCATCCCCTGGCCCCAGGCTGCTCCCCTCTGCCCTCCTTTCTTCTGACATTTATTGAGTACATACACAGTTCTAGGTTAGGGAGAATAAATGCCACAATTTGAATAGTACTAACATTGCATATTTCATCTTGATTTCTAAGGGCATTTGGAGTCTTTGTAAATTTCTCTTTTGTAACCCAAGAGTTAGAAGGAAAATTGGTTAATGAAGAAAGTGAGCAGGGGAAGAAATGTGGGTCTCGCTGTAAGATCAAGCTGGCTACTGACTGTTCTCTGTCCTCCCAGGGGCCTCTTTCCTGTGTAATACTGGTCTTTTACAGAAGAAAAAAGACGTTAGAAGACATTGTGCTGTTTGACTAGCCCATAGAAAAATAAAGTTTTTCCTCTCAGTGTCAGGGATCTCGGGGAGGACCAATGGAGAGGGAAGTCCTCTGCCTTCAGCTACATCAACCCACTCTGGGGCTAGCTGAGAAAATGGGCCTGTGGGTACAGACTTCCCGTGAGCAGGAGAAAGGCTTCCCTGGCGGAGGCCTCCAGATTGAGTTGAGGGTGGAAATACTCGGAGAGTTGTGCTGTTTCCAAGAAAGAAGGCTCCAGGGTCTGAGATGGTCAAGGGCAGACCCAGAGTCATTTTTATTGAAAAACCAGAATGTGAGCCGTGACAGCCTCCACCAAGGCTCCATGGGGTACTTCAGTTTGCCTTTGGGGGTGGGGGGGGGCAGGATGCCTCCCGCATGCTTCCTGAAGGGGTTTCAGAGGCTGCTCTCCCTCTTCCTCTGCTCCTGTTCTTCAACCCCCCCAGGAATTTGTTAGCAATGACTGCCATACAGTAGGATGGATTAAGAGGAAGGGCCACCAATGTCCTCACTGCTGACAACTTTGGGAAAATCTTCTTGGCCAAGCAGCAGAAACTGATGATAGAGTAGAGATCCTCAGACTGAGAAGCTGTTTAGGCGGGGGACTGTTGTTTGATTGGCGCTGACCTGCCACTGGAGTCAGGAAATGAGCCCTTGCCTGCAGAGACTCCCCGCCACTCTTGGCCCCTTGACTCTGCTGCCGAGCTCAACACCTTCCCTCCAGCATCACCTGCCTGGCTTCAGTGTGGCCTCTTAGGAAAGCACGGAGACCGCCCCTTGGGGACGCTCACGGCCAGGACAGAAGAAGAGGAAGGAAAGGAGCATGGTTATCGCCCTTTGAGAGTTCATTCTAAATGGGGTGCAGAAAACTTCCAGCTTCTGGGAGGAATTGTTGATTCAACTAGAAAAGGGAAGTTTCTGTGCATGAGCCCGGCAGTCAGTAAACATTGCAAGGTGCATTGTTGGTTGGGTGTTCCAGAAGAGCACGGTGCAGCCTCACATGAGCTTGATCAAATAAGAGAATCTTCCTTCATGAGCTTCAGGTCACTTAGGTCTTTGAATAATTAATAATAATAATAATAATGATAATAATAATAGGTGAGGGAATGCTTCTGCACTATCCTAAGTGTTGAGTGAGAGCCAGGGAGGCCTGAGGACCAGCTCTCAGGCAGCCTGATCTCTGACAGCAGGGGGTGCCAGGAAGAAGGGGCTGCAGGGGTGAGCTGTTTCCCCAGCTCTAGGCTGGAGGCTCTCACTCTGTATCCTGACCCAGGGGATCACTGCTTTCCAGGGTGTGAGCTGAGGCAGCCCACTCCCCCCTCTGCTCTCCACGCCCTTCTTTCCCACTCTTTTGACTGGGGCTTACTGGTATTAACGGTGGCCTCATGCCTCCTGGGGGAGATGAGAGTATGGACCATGAGCTTGCCTGGAGGTTAGCCAGGTGACATGTGCCACTGACAGTCTTAGCTGCCCAAAGACTGACCCCATGTCAATGTGAGCTGAGGGCACAGCTGTCCTGGACCTCACCGTGCCATCGTTACCTCAATGCAGACACCAATGGTCACATTTGAAAGTCCCCTCAGTGCACTCTACCGGCTGCTCTCACCAGCTCAGACAGAGCCCTGAAAGGGGACATATTCAGCAAAGCACAGCACTTGTCATTTAGTGATGATGAATTAATGGCTTTAAAGAAAATTGATTTGATTTGTCTTCCAAGACTGTCGTCCCCGTCATTCTAAAAGGTGTATGTTCCCACTAAAATATTAGGGTTTCTTTTTTTCTCTTGTTTATTTTTTCTTATTACATTTTCTCTCCTTTCTCTTGGTGCCTGACCCACTGTGCGCAGTCAGCCCTTCATTCTCTCGTTCATTCCCTGGATCTGCTGTTACAAGTGCCAAAGGTAGAACAGTCCACAAAGCCCATCAGCCCCTGCCCTCTTGAAGTTTGGAGTCTCACACTAATGGTGGCTCTGTGTCCTGCCTGCCTTTCTTTCTTTCTAACCTAAGTATCCTCCATGCTCCGTCCACAGGAAAGCTGGCCTCATTCTCTCCCAGCTTGGAGACCTCAGCAGCTGGTGCGACGGACTCCTTCAGGAGCCCAAGATAGGCCTGCGCCGCAGCGCGCTCAAGTACCTGGGCTGCCGCTACAGCGAGATCAGGCCCTACGGACTCGACTGGTCAGAGCTCAGCCGCGACCTCAGGAAGACTTGTGAGGAGCAGACCCTGAGCATCCCCTACAATGACTACGGGGACAGCAAAGACATCTGACAGCACGGGGCCAGCGAGTGGCTGCCAAACTGGGGCAGGAGAGCGGAGGGGGACATCTGGGTTGGTTTGTGGGTTTTTATCATTTTTTAATGGAACATTGAAAGCTCCAGAGATGACACCCAGGGAGGAAGGGGTCCTTTCTCCGTGCAAACTTCTTCAGTCTGACGCGCTCCATCGGCACCATCAGTAAGCCCGCCAGGCAGTGGCTTCATGCAGCACCATTTTTTTCTTAGAGGGTTTCTTTGGGACTTGTTTTGGTGTTAATTTGTTTCATCCTTTTTTTTTTTTTTTTTTAACCCTCAAGAGTCCTGTCCAAATGCTCAAGAATTCTGTCATACTCCCACAAAGGTTCCACCTGGCCGAGGCACCTGCTCTTACTGAGTTCCTGAGTCCATTGCAACTGGGGACAGAGGCGGAGCTGGAGAGCTAGGCCTGCAAGGGCCTGACCTCAGGCCTTCCTTGGGCAGCGTCTTGCTCTGGGAGCCCCAGCCCTGCTCAGAGAGGAAGACGCAAAGCAAACTGGGGGACTGGCCCTTGTGTGTGCATCCCGGTTTCCTCCAGGCCTTCCCACGGCTGTCTCCACCCCTCAAAGGTGACACCTCGACGCCGTGATAGCCCAGTGGGCCTCCTGGGTTTCTAGGTCTCCCATTTTAAGCCAGGACTAGAATTAAACCTCCCTCAATGGGGCTCTGCTCTGCCCTCTGAACACCATTATCTTTCAGCAGTGACAAGATGCCCCCTGTGGAATCTCCTGGAAGGAGGCGTTCCTAAGTGGCAATTAGATGTCACTGCCAAGTGCACCTTCAGAGACGTCTCCCTGGGAGACTAGCTGGCAGTTCACAACCTACTGAAGTAAGCAGCATTTAAACAAACCAACCAACCCGTGCCCCCTTTGAAAGGTCCTCTTCAGACCACTAACGTGCACCCCAGCGCCTGGGTTCTCAGCGCCTGCCCCTCACCCGGCAGGTGAGGCTGGGTTCAAGAGGGGTTGGCACGTCCATGTCAGTGTTTCGGTGAATTAGAGCTATTATTGATCTCCAGAAAGGTCTGTCCTCTCTCTCCCCTTGCTAAACTTGCTGAGTTGCTAGTTTTGCCAGTGGTTTCCTTGAGGACCATCAGTGGGAGGATGCCGCGGTGGTCGCCACCTTCTGGCTGCTGGCATAGCAGAGTTTCTGTGCAGCCAATCAGTGCTGAGCCACAGCCCCACCCACTGCCTGAGCATTGCACAGAGGCCAGCTAAGGGGAAGCCAGCCCTCCAGAAACAAGCCCCTGGGGCCATGTCGGCCATCAATGGCCTTAAACGCCCACACCTCACTTTCAGCCACCCTTGCTTTGTCTGGGACGCCTTATGTGGAAACCCACCACAGAGGTCAGAAAGGAGGTGCAGGACCCCCTGAATCCTACAACAACCCCCTGGGGAAAGTGCTGTTCTTGTCAATGTCTCAGTGAAGAGGAAAGGGAGGCAGAGAAGTGATGCGGCTTGTCCCTGTCCTTCGAGCACTGAGTGCTGAGCCACAGTGTGAGTTCAGACTGTTGGACTCCAAGGCACCGGGTCTAGCAGCCCCTGAGCCTTACCGCTCTCAAAGCATTCAGCCGTCCCTGAGCTCCACGGGGACCTCCCCAGAGGGCTACACCTTTCCCAAGCACCATGGCCCAGATGTGGCCACCAGCAGTGGAACAGGGAGACAGGGAGGACCGTGGAGCAAGCACCTTTGACCCCGCAGCTCTGTAGCCCATGCCTCTCACCAGTGATGGGAAGAGCTAGGATGGGCCGAAGGCCCAGACTGGCCTCCATCGCTCTCCTCTTCTTTCCAGAGAAACCTTGAATGATGTCTGTCATTCTTCCTAACGCCAGGGCCTCAGAGGCGCCCCTCCTTCCAGAGCAGAGAACATGGCTGCCCACCTGGGGTGGATGAGGGCCCCCAGGTAAAGTGCCTCCAAAGCAATTGTCCACCACTGCCACGGGAGAGGATGCCACGGGCCGAGGCCATCCTTCTGTTCAAGTCTGTGCAGAAGACGGCATCTTGACTTGGAGCAGCAGGACGGAGAGGCCACCGGCACCTTCCTGCCCAGCAGTGGGGAGACAGGAGCTGACGGCAGGGAGGAGGCGAGGAGTGGCACTGAGCCACCCTCTGTCACCCCTTCCTGTTTTTATTTTGTAAAGGCACACTACCTTCCTCTCTCCTTCATCCTTGTTCCCTGCTCAACCCTGTCCCTCCACCTCCTTTTTGTCCCCTTTTCCTTTGTCCCCTCCCTTTGCTGTTTTTTTTTTGGTCCCCTCCCTTTGCTTTTTATGGCCTTCCTCCTTTCCCCTTCCCCAGGATTCTTTTCACCCCCCCCCATGCACACCCACACACACCCACACACACCCACACACGCTGTCCACACACCCCTGTGACTGGGTCCAATTTACTTTCAAGTTTAAAAGGCCAACACAGATGGGGTGTGGCTCGTCTTAGGAAGGGCATACACATAACTGGAGGCTTCTCCCTGGAGGACACCCGACCACACCTTGCCCGTGTTCCTCAGTGCTTGCCCGGAGGCGCCCATCCTGGCTAGAAGGGGTGGCGGTCCCGAGCCAGTATTAGACCTCAAGTTTCCAAGGTGCCAACAGCTCTCATGGAGTCCCTCTGCCCGTGACACTCCCAGCTCCACGTCCCTTTGAGATCTCTGCTGTGTCCTCCCTAATGTACATGAACCACTGTAATAGCATAGATCTTGAATGGAGTGTGCAATTGTTTTCCACGGAGTTTGGTCCATTGTTATTTTTAGTTAACTGCATTTCTTGATATTCAATTGTTCTATTAAAAAAAAAAAGCAAGTGTGGAAAGAAACACTTTACTACTGTAGAAGGAGGAAAGAATATAATGTGACCATCTTCAAGTATAACAGTGTTGTTTGAAAGAGAATTATTGTATGATTATAAAAATGAAGTAATCAACTAAATAATAAACAAAGCTGTTAGTAATGCTGGGTGTGCAGATGTTATTGCCTCAGATCTTTCAATAATCTGAGTGATCTAGTTGGATCCACCGAGGAGTTGTTAAGGTTTTAAATATCATACCTTATAATACAATAGGTCTTGTAGGCAACATCCTAATAGAAATAAAAAGAAGAGTCAGAGTTTTCAATTGTAAACTTACTATTATGAGGTAGTGAGTCTCATCTTCTCTTTACCACCTTCTCCAAGTTATTAGTCAATATAAATATATTTATTCCAGGTCTTCTGTATTTCAGACATCATGTGTAATGCAGAGGGTACAAACTGGTTTTCTCTGATGAGCTTATCCTAACACGGGTAAGAAGAACTAAGACAAAGACATATATGGGATGCTGTGGGAGAATTCACACTTCAGGCATCCAAGGAAAAGGTTGCAAAAGGCCCTCCCAGACATCCTCGGCCTGCATTCGGTAGAGGCATTTGGAATCGACTGGGTATTACACAAGGCCTCACAGAGAGGAGCCCAAAACACTTAATCTCTCTCTTCCTCTCTACAGTGTAACTTTAGATGTTATCTGGGCCTCTACCAAAACATGTGATTCCCTTTAAATTCCTCCATAATCAGATGTTTGGAGCCTGGGTTTAAGACACCCTCTGGAAAAGCCAGGATCAAAGTCCTCCCTGCCCAAGCAGGATGATTAAGAGAAGATGAAGACCCTGACGGTTTTAAACTAGGGACACACCCCTCCCATATAGAAGTAGTGCTGCTGCCTCTGCGCTTGACTCAGCAGGTTTGTGACCAACAGGTTATGAAGGAAGTGACAAGATGGGACTTTAGTAGGAGCATAAGATCTGGGGCTCCTGCTCCTTCTCTGCAACTCCTGCTCTTGGGGTTCTGAGGCATCACATAAGGAACCCAAAGCCGCTGTGCGGGTCCCTCATGATGATGATACACAGGTCCTGTGTAGGCAATCGGGTTCCCAATATCAGGCCAAAGCCTGAGACACACAATCAAAGCTTTCCCGAGCCCTGAAGGCTAAATCCCTCCACCAGACAATGTCCATCCATCGATGCTTTGTGGAAGAGCAGAATCACCTTGCCAACCCCTCCTGAATTCCTGACCCCCAAATTATGGTACATAATAAAATAGTTATTTTTAAGCCAATAAAGGGGTCTGCTAAATAAAGGTCATCTGATTGAGACCCCTGGTGCTGGCATCTGGGTGAGGGTGTGAATTCACATGGAAGCAGTGGGCGAGCCCTGTGCCAGCAGGGCTCCCGTGCAGAGTGGTTGTCTGGCTACAGGTGAGTCTTTTTCCATCAGAGCGGAGGAAAATCAAGGGTGGGATGCCGAATTCCAGTGTTTCTGAGAGAGTGGACCAGAAACCCTGCAAGAGGGGAACATCCTTCCAGGTTCAGCAAAGGAAAGAAAAGGGAGAGGGCAACTTGGGGCAAGGACAGAACAGAACCCAACCCTGATTATGAAGACCTCATGCCTCCCACCCCTGTTCCCACCATCAATCACTACGGTATTATTATTTGGAATGAACCAATTAATTAGTAAGTTCATTTCAGATGAAACCCCAACGTTGTATAGAATAAGCGAACAATTTCTCTTGGTACACATGGAATCTGGGACGTGGCTCACGTCTGTACTATTCCACAGTGAGAAAAAAAAATAAACCTTTTTGTTCTATGATTTTGCAATGTAATTAGCTTGACTTTCTTAGAGATGGACAGGTTTTGACATCAAGTTTCCTCGCCCACGCTGCCTTTTGTTAGTGACTATGATATGCCGCTCGCATGGGGTACAAATTAGTGTAATTGGTTCCTTACTACCTTTCCCAGTAGGAGAACTTCAGTCATATTTTGTGCTTAATAAATAGAAGTAACTTCCTTTGTTTCAAGTGATTCAAGTGCCATGTGACCCTGAGGCTATTGTCCAGTGAGTCAGACAGTTTTCTCCTGCCCACCAGCTTAGAGAGGAAACCACCTCAAACCTCCTCCCTGGGGAACTGCAGGGCTTAACTGCCACCGAGGAGACCCGAGTGGGGCACCTTGTTCTATCACCACTGAACACAAGGTGACCACGCCTGTGTTCTCAGATACATCCGCTTTGCCCCTTTGCCTGCTCTGTCCCCAGACTCTCTTGTAAACAGGTTCCCTTCTGGGACCCTGGGAAGCACTAGCAGTAGGTTGGAAGGAAAAGGAAGCCAAGACACACTTCTTCATCTGTCCCGGATGATGTCTCATCTCCAGTGCCTCCTCTGTGGTTTCATCTCCACTTGTCGTGTCCCTTGTTCCTCAAGCAGGACCTGCTTCTGGCTGCTGTTAATCTTTGGGGCTCACCCCTCTTCCAACATTCACCAGCCACCTTTCCACTCTTCCAGAACCCCATTTTCCACTCTAGTGAGTTACCTAAAGTGTGCTTGGTTTTCCTGGCTGGATCTTGAACTCAAACAAACACGGAACTAACACTTGTTACATATCATCCGACACAGAAATTTTGTCACTCTTTCAGGTCTGAGTTACCATCTGGAAGATGAAATTTTGATATCCAAAGTAACTGAATTCCCATGAACTCTAAGACTTCAGGGTACAAATGGGTTGTCACATGAGTGCTGAATGGATCGGGTGGGACTGGCTGCTTGAACAACTGGCTTGAAAAGGATTCTGACAGCAGATCAGCACTGCTCAGGAGGGGTGGCAGCAGCCACAAGCAAAGCCTAATAGAAATATGGACCTGGTGAGCGGCAGGCACACCTCTGTGGGAGCAGAAAAGGCAGGGCACAAGTGACATCAGGGAAGTCCAGGAGTATCTGGGTCCTACACAGCTCCATAGGTTGTATGCAATTCATGAGCCACGCAAAAGTGAATATAGATCCTTTGCCAATGGACAGTTGAAATGGAATGCGCGTGAGTAGCTCGTTTTGGAGGACTTCGAGCCCACCCCACTATTACATGAATAATTTCACAGCACTGCACTTAAGTTTTCTAAACGGTCATCTTCATTTCTAAATCTGCATTTTAAGATGGTCTTAATAGGGTTACTATAGGGAAACAATTCAAAGCACTGAGGTGGCCAATGATCTGGCTGATAACTGTGGGAAAAAGCTCTGTCCCTAGGGCTGGGGAAAAGAGGAAGATGGCCTGCCGGAGACTAGACACCCTCTTGAAGAAGAGGCCGTTTGCCTAGTGCTGGAATTTCTTTGGGGGTAAAGACACTGCTCCTTTGAGTGCACAATGATGGCTGCTGCCTAGTGAAGAGCCCGTGGCAGGGTGATATCCACAGGGACAGCAAGCTAACCTCTCACTCCTCTGCCGCAGTCTGGCTGGGCACAAAATCACGAGCCACTCAAGCAGGAACAAGCTTTATTTCCAAACCTCCTGCGAATGCCACGCACGCACGTGGCCTTCTCCCGGGACACACTACACCAACAGGAAATCCCTCCTCCGGAATTCCCTCCTACCGCACTTCCCCAACCAATGGGAACTCTCCGGAGTCCCAAGAGAGCTCCAAAGTAGCAGGCCTAGGCAGACAGCAGGGGTCTAATCTCCAATTGAATGCACATCTTAACATAATCATTATCATCTCAATGGCTTGCTGGGGTCACCTTTCAACCAAAAATGCCATGCGTCATTCCTACTTGGCTATGGCTCTCAGCACTCCTCTTCCTACCAGTCTCCCTCAAGTGCTTCTTGCTGACAAGGCCTAACATGGGACTGACTGTCAAAAGGACTCCAGGTTTTCAGGGTTCCCCCAGCAGCATCGCAAAGAAAGCCCAGAAGGGTGGGTCTGAGCCCCCACACAACAGCTTGCTAACCGCTAGGCAGCTTGAGGGTCCAATGAGATGAAACTCTTGAAGGCAATTGACACACTGAACAGGAGCCGCATGTTTCACCATTGCTAGGTAGCTTTCCTTGACAATGTGGTTGGAAAAGAAGGTAGCATTTCAAGTTCATACTATGCATCCCTTTTATGTACCAAAGATCTGGTTGAATTTTTGACATTGAACTTTCTCAAAGAGTTTTTACCCTCTGGCAGAAATGTCTTTGGTTGCTGAAGATGCTGTTTAACAGCAGCCAATTAACACTCACTGATTGCTTATCATGTGCTGCATCATATACACATTTTTACATGGCTTCTGTCACCTAATTCTGCCAAAGGCACGGGAGCACATTACTACCACTGTCCATACTCTACCCACGAGGCAACTCCAACTTGGAGACTGTAGGCAACTTGTCCAAGGGAAAACAGCTGTTAAGTGTGGCTCTCTGCAGTGCTGTCCTGTGGCTGGCTTTAATCACATTCCTTCTGAGGAATTCAATATGGAGAGAACCCTAAACCAAGAGCAAAACCGATCCATCCATTGTTTTGGCTTGGCTGGTTTAGTTTGGGAGGGAGAGGAAGTGGGAACATGCACTTCTTGTGTGCAGCCACACTGGAAGTCTCTGGACGACAAAATGCATCAATCTTTACATTTCCAAGTCTTGCTGCTGCAACCAGGCCGCTAGCAGTCCTTCTCTGCCCCAGGGAAGGAGTGACTGTGGGGCTGGCCAATGCCCTGTCAAGGCTCCTGGTGAGATGTGTTTATTGGCTTACAGAGAAATGGAACTCTGGAACTCCTCCCATCTCTGATCTCACAGAGTTTTGATCTATACTGGTGTAAGAGTCACAGTATAACCATTAGCTCCACCCTCTAAGCCAGGCCCTATTCTCAGACAGACTAACAGCAGCCACTTGGATATCCATAGGCTGTGGAGCAGAAATGTTGGTACACATTCATCCTGACCAGCTGGGTCTACATAATGAAGGTGAGTTGCTGCACCGCAGACCTCCAACCTTCTGAGCTGTCTCACCCTTGGGCATCGGGCAGGGGAAGATATTTTGATCCTCACCCTGTGGCCTCTGTGTCCCTTGGCAGCCAGGAAGGGAATGAAAGGGGCCTGCACTGGAGGTGTTGGTGATGGAACTGACTGATGTGTGGCAAGGAGGGGAACATACAGAAAGGGTATTTGGTTGCCACGGCAAACCAGCAAACACTCAGAGGAGAGGGTGTGGCCCGGGACTTAATGAAGTGCCACTGGGTTTGAGCAGCAACTGGAATGTCTGAGAGGAGCTGCATTCCTTCCCACAGAGCCCGGGGCCAGGCCACTAGCAGGGACTGCCTGTACCTCTCAGGAATGCTCAGGATGAAGACAGGACTGGAAAAGACAAGCAGGCCTCCCAGGGTAGGTTTTCCTACCGCCAGCCACAAAGCGGGGCCTCCCAGAAGAAAGTTGGAAAACTCCTTCCAGAGCCCAAAGAGGCTCCATCTATGAATGATTTCTTCCCCCCAAACTCCGAGCCCCGTTCCTCAGGGCCTGAGGAGCTGCTTTGACAGTCCTCTCCACCTACTGAAGTTGACTTCTGCTGTTCCCTTTGCTTTGTGCCCTTCTCAAAGGAGAACAGGATTCCTGCTGCGGGGTGGACCTGGGATCTCAAGGTCTTCCCAGTTTGATCCAAGAGAAGACATGTGTTACCAGTGTGGCATGGGTGGCAGAGGCACAAAGAGTCTGAGGTCAGGCAGGCATGTGTCAGAAGCCCAAAAACTCACTAGTCAGTGGTCCATAGACAACCTGCAAGAATGTAGCAGCAAGGTCAGTGGCTGGTCAGGTGACCTAGAAGGCCCGGGAAACAGATGTCAGCAGAGCCTGCTCTTGCCTTCACCTCTAGGTCTTTCCACCCGTTTCCTTTCTCCAGACTCAAACTTTTTTGTCTTGTCTCATCTTAACTGGCCTCAACTACCAAAGAGGAAAATCTTGTCTGATATGTAGCCTGATAAAAACTGGAAAGTAGAGATGATATTTTTAGTATATCTGAAATAATAACAGTGTGATATGAGGCACTTCATTGAAAAAGAAGGGAGAGCATCACTCATTGATAAATATTGTTTGTCAGATGTTTATTAGTAAGTGTTTATGGAGCTCCATCTATACCATGGGAAAGTCCTTTCAAGGGTTACTAGTGTTACCCCTTTGAATGAGCCTAACAAGCCAGCAAATGTAAACTCAACCCTCCCTGCACCTATGGGCCCCCCAAGACATCTGCCCCAGCTCTCCTGGGCTGGGGTTTCAAACCAGGCCTCAAGCCTACAGTCTGTATGAGCACACATCAGTACATAGTACCCAGAATGTCTACCCAAGATCACTTCAGGCCTGAAATACACAGATGCCTCGGGGCCTTTGGGAACTTCCCCTAACCTGGAGAGAACCTTTGATACTCTGCCCAAGCAGGACCACAGCCAGGCCCTCTGCACCTCACCGAGGCAAATTGGTTTACTCTAACATTATTGCACATGGGTGTCAATCATTCGTTAGTGAGCATGCTGCGCAAGCAGGGCCCTGGGACATGCTCTGGCACCGGCTTGACCTTCTGAAATAGCTGGAAAATTACATTGTCTTGCTGACAATAGTTTTTATATAAAAACTTTCCCTCCCTTAATATTTGGGACCATGGTCACATTCTAACTATTTAATATAGGGCCTCAAACTGGAATGTGGCATGGCTTTACATGAAATTATATTTAAAATATAGAAGTCCATGGTACACTTAATCATATGTGTGTGTGTGTGTGTGTGTGTGTGTGTGTGTAGGTGGGGGGAGAATATCAATCAGCCTATTAGAGTAAGACATTCTAGGACAAAAGTGCATAGAAATTCAGAAGCTAGCTGACCTCCACCCCTACTACTCTGGTTCTGCTTGGCCCTTCTATAGCAAGGACGTTTCTAATTACCAAAGGAAATATAATGACCACTTATGCCAGCTCATGATGGGCACTCAGCAGTCACTGTACCCAATCTGCATAATGACTGTTTAGGTTGGGAGTTCTCAGTTCCATTTCTCAGAAGGAAAAACTGAATCTCATGTCACTGCCTGCTTTGCTCAAGATCACCCACCCTGGTCTCAGGTCAGGCTGCTTCCTAGATTCTCTTCTTGCCTGGTCTGCAGTTGCTGCTTTTTCTTCCTGTCTCATGTGGCGACACACCTGAATCGGAGGCGTGTGGACACATCTGTTAGCTGGGCATGAGTTGGCCTCAACATGAAACCCATTGACGAGACCCGAATTTGATGGTGAACTGGGGAAGGTGTCATTTTGATGCTCTGCACTCAAAACCCAGTCTTCTGTGTTGGCCTTGTGTTCCCAACATTTCTTGAACTCTTGGTAGAGAACCAGTCAAAGCATAAACCCCAAGTGTCCACAGGCCCACTCGCCCCAACCCCAAACACACAAACAAATTACCTTGTTTTGACTGACTCACATCCATAAAATCAGGGTTGATAATCAGCTCCGTACATGTTAGTGTTTCACTGGGCAGACATCAAGCAAGGCAGTGCCAGATTCCAAAATGAGTAAGACAGCATCTCAGGGCCACCAGCTGAGTGTGAGCTGTGTCCTGCCCAGGCTCCCTGCTCCAAGGCCTGAATTGTCCAGAGGTCCAGCTTGTGTAGACAGGATTTTTAGGACCTGGTCTCTGACACTGAATTGTGTTTATACTGAAGGATGTTTTTCTAATCCTCACAAAGGCTCAGTGGAGCCCTGAGTCCGTCCACCTTCCTTCAAAGATTTCACATCTGAACGTCAGGAAGGACAGCAGTAAAGCTAAGAAAATTACCAGTAAGTACACTGATTATCCAAAGAGAAAAATAAGGGTCAAAGAACCAATAAGTATCAAATGGGGGAAGAAGAAAGGCTTCATGAAATAGGAACATGTGAGGAGCAGCTGAGACAAGGGGCAGGACTTTTTGCATGTGGAGACAGAGGGCAAGACCCCAGGCTGGGGAGTGGCCCCACACCACTGTGGGGGCTCCAGGGCTGGGGAGGCGCCCTGCAACAGGGCCCCAGAGCTCATGCCCAGAAGCCCCGAAGCTCAGTGGGAAGTCCTGCTGTGCCGAGCTGGTCAGGCATTTAAGGACAGGAGGAGACTCCTTGCCCTGAGCAAACCAGGACTCCCTGAGAGCTGTTTTAAAAAGGAGGAATGATGTGGACTCCATGTGCCAGGAGGGATTCGATGGGGGAAGAAGCAGGACAGGGGGACTGGCAAGGGCTGTTCAGGAGGGGATGCCCTGGTGGGTGCAGGGGAGACAGACAGGGGAAGGACGAATATGAAAAAGAAGAAGGTGTCCGTGGCCATGTGTAGGCACAGAGAAGCGGGAGTAGGAAACCATGTCCCTCTGAGTGAAAGCCGGGCTGTGACCATGGGTACGGAGGCCCTCCAGGATCTCCCCACCCTCCATACTCCTCCGCCCTCACCTCCACACCCCACCCTCCAGCCAGGCTGCCTTCAGCTCTATTCCTCACCTACATGAGGTGTCACCCACCTCTCCCTGGCCGTCCTGTGCCTGGCTCCCTCCCTCACTTCCTTCTATCTCCAAGAAGCACTGGGGACTTTGGCTGCACTCAGCAGCACTGCCCAGCCCACCCTCCTCACCCCTCGCCACACCTCATTTTCCTCAGGGCTCTGCGCTGGCTCCAGATCCATCGGTGTGCACTGTCTCCTGGAGTTTGTCTCCAAGGTCCTTGAGGACAGAGATGAGGCCCTGTCCCTTTGCCACTGTATCTCTAAGTGCCTGGCACATCATAGGTACTCAATAAAAATATATTGAACTGCAACAATGACATGACCAGCCAGGTGGGTATTTTTTGCCCCCTGAAGGCCAGAGAAAGCCAAATACGAAATGTGCAGCTTTGAGGGTTGGTGAGTGAGTCCTCAGCCATGGCTTGACTCAAGTGACTTAGGACAACTCATTGAGGGAAGTGTCATAGTCAATACTATGGTCTTTGGGGGATCCTTTCAAGTGTGAGAACCTACAAAACCAAGCACAGTGCTTTGTGTGTATGGTTTCCAGGAAAAGGAGCATTCTAGCCCAGCGGGTGGGTAGAGCCTGACTGCTAACCATTTCCTGGCTCTTCCACTCACTGGTTGTGCCACCACAGCCTTCTTTGTGCCTCTCTAAACGTTTCTCAGATCTCATTTATGTTGAGTGATTCCCTGCTCCCCAGCCACTGTCTGATTTCCCAAAATGTCAACCCATTATGATTGGGCCACTGTCTGACCTGCCAGAGGCGACTCTGTTCCCTTATCTGCTAAGAACATTATGCATAGGTTTTATGAAGGAGGACTTTTTATTTGCTTTCTAATTTATGGTTTGAGGTTTCTGGATATATAGTTTGTAGATGATTTATTTAATTTGTTTTCCTGAACTACTAGAATAAAACCCAAAATATACAAGTGAGCATGATATATCCTTATGTCAGCCATGAGATACAAGTAGGATGGTTTAAAAAATCATTCCCAGAGCATCTTTTAAATTGAATGATACATGTGTGGACCACTAGCTGTACGTGTTTATTTACATTTAAATTATTGGAATTAAGAAAAATTTAAAATTCAATTCTTTTCTCTCATTAGTCATACTTCAAGGGCCAGAGGGCCACATGTGCCCTGTGGCCTCTACGCTGGACAACACGGACCTAAAACATTACAGCATTACAAATGTTCATCAGACAGTGCTGTTCTAGAAATGACAGATTCGGCGATTCGGTCATCTTTTGAAGAGACAACCACTATTCCACATAGCGAATGCCACTTTCCAGGTCAATTCCAACTGAGTTTACAAACACTTTTCTGGAAAAAAAGCTGGAACTCCATTTTTTTGCCCTTATCCTACTTCCTTTTTCTCAGTGCCAAGTTTTACCACTATTACCCCACAAATCCACTTTGCTTCTCTCTGGATCAGTGAGTTTGAACATCTTCTGGCAGTCAAACCACTCAGGAATCTCCATCTGCTCTAACCATCCTGAGAATAAAATGAACGATGGCTTACAGCTCAGAAACCCTCTAATGTCCGAGTATCATGGTGTCTGAGAATGTGAAGGGTCTTAGAACCTCTTTAAAGGCAGCTCCCTGCTCCTCTCCACCATTAAATATTTTTGGTTGAACACAGGGGCACTTTACCACTGAACTACATTCCCTATCATCTTTGCCTTTTATTTTTGAGAAAAGGTCTTGCTAAGTTGTTGAGGCTGGGCTCAAACTTGTTAATTCTCCTTCCTCAGCCTCTTCAGTAGCTGAATTAGAGGAATGTGCATCATGCCTGATATCATCCTTCAAACTTCTCATTGCCTCCACCACCCAATCTTTGAGCCTGCTCATCTGGTGTTATTTAGGCCCTGGGCTGGGCAGAGTGCTGCAAAGGTAAGTATTTAGGAAAATGAGGCTTAGCAAGATTTAGTAACCTTATGACTATCTAGTTAGTATTGGAGCCAGAATTTAAATCCAATTCATTAGGCTTGACAGCTTCGGCTTCCCATCCTAGCAGATCGCCATGCTGCTGCCTGTGGGTCTCAGATCACCAATCCCTCCTACGAATTGGCTTTCAAGATCCAGACAGAGTCATTCTTGCCTTCTGTCTCCCTATGGGAGAGAAGATGAGCAGTTCTGAGTCCATTAGCAATGTTTCCCAGCATGGAGACTACTTGAGTATTTTGAAAAGCTGAAGGGACTCTCATACAGGTCATTCTAAAGCCATTGAACTACCACTAACCAAGTCAATACTTGGAAGTTGTTTGTGCCCTGACACTATTTAGAAAACACTTTGAATTGCACGTAAATTGTAATATGGGGAAATTTTCTAACTTTGACAGTCTTTTGTGAGATTTAAGTATTTGACTTGTGTGTTTATAAACATTTGTAAAAGGCAACTCCCTTCAGATAGCAGTTAGCTAATGGAGAGAAAAAGCAAATTGATACAATACAATTGACAGTCATTAAAAAGTTCACACTCTTCCTTTATTTGCTTTTATATTTTGCATTCAAATAAGTGACTTTTATGTGGATAAAGACAAAGAAAAGGAAGCTTGTCTACATTAAATTATCCTTAGGAGAAAATTTGATTTGAAAAACCATTAGCAAACTGCAGTTACTGGGAACTATTGCTGTTATGCTGAACTATCTTTCAGAGCTCAGAAATGCTTTTCTAATGTTCCTTGGAAATGTTAACCACATTAGACTGGTAGGCTTCTTTCAAGAAGGCTCTCTGCCATTGTCACACTAGTTCTTACCAACGCTGAGCAAGGTGAACTGAAGATCTACTGGCAGGATCTGAAAAGGCAAAACGATCAAGAGCAAGGGCCGAAATGAGCAGCATATACTCCTACATTGACCAGCACGCTGGATTCTGCCAGAAAATGTTCACTCAAGCCCAGGTGGGCTCAGACCACAGCTGGCTTGAGGATATCCATCAATTCTTTAAACTAGTTTTGTCTTTTTCCAGGGAAAATATTCAAGGCCTATGTCGAAGGCTTTATTGGCATAGATCATTGTGAGATAAAGGATTTCATCACTACCCCCTCCTCTTCTTCTGGGCCAAACATTGTGAAACCTGAAATATCAGGAGCCCCGTGATCTTTCTGGGGTGATATAAAAAGAGATGACCCAAAGCCAGCTCCAGAGATGCCCTGGCACTATTTTTAGTGTTAAATCTTCTCATTATCTTCCCCTCCAGGAACTGCTCATCATCTGGATGCCCTAAATCTAAGCATAGTGAGTCCCCCCAGCTATAGATGGCTCCCCAGATCATTTAAGTTTGTGAGTCAATGGAAACCAGAGCTCTAAAGTCTCTGTCCAGGACTCTCCCTGGGGAAATTACTAAGAAGAAGGCAGCTTTGCCAGATGTTTCTGTCCAGCTGTCTTGACTGAAATGCACAAGGGCATCTGCTTACACTCAGGCCTGGCATGAGGAAAGAGCTCTGGAAGGTGCTGCAGAAGGGTTGCCCTCAGTTTTCCTGCCATAAACCATGGATAACAGGCAGCAGAGGAAGTGGATGGACCCAGCTGCTAAGAAAGCCACAGGAAAGCAATGAGCACCTGAAACATAAGCAGGTGAAAAGATGTGAGATGTTCCCCCTGCTACTGGATCTGGGCTCCCTCTTGGGCCCAACAGGCTGAATAAGGTGTAGTGGAAAGCACCTCACATCCCCATGGCAACCTGAACTTAGATACATGGATTTACACTTTCCAGTGACCTGGCTCTCAGTTTCTTCATCTGTAAAATGGAAAAAACAAAACAAAACTGCCCTTGCTCTGCTTAGCCCATGGATAGCCATAAAGCATATAAAGCACTTTGCAAATCGTTAGAGAGAAAGTCAGGTTAGGTTCTTTTCACTATAAAATGTTTATTTCCAACCAGAAATTTCTTTCCCAACTTACAAGCTCATATTTTCAACAATCTTGTCTACAGGTCTTTCCAAACAAACGGCTGATAGGTGTGTTGCTGCCCGCCTTGGCCTTTCAAGAAGCTAGATGGGGCCTGGCATGGCCAGGGAGCTTAGAGCCATGCTGACCCAGCTACAGAAGCCTCCTCCAGAGAGGTGAACACTGCTTCATATAACATTCCCAACCAATTATTTACCTGGTGTTCAGACCAAGTTTATAACCAAGCGAGCCCATGCTCTTGGTCTGCAGGCCTGCACCTCTGGGCTTCCCTTTTCTGTCAGTAATGCCCACCCCAACACACTTTTCAACTCTCCCATCTTACTTATCACCAGTTTTTTTTCTCTTCATGTGTCTTGGAGTTCCACAGACCAGGCTAGAACTGACTTAATCATGTGACCCCAGAAGAACTTTCTCCTCTAGGCTGGGGCTTGCTGTTCTCATCTGACAAGTGAGACTTTGTGATGTTCAGAACTGTCATTGGAATTAAACAGGTTGTTTAATTCCCTAATATAGGGTACATGTGAACTTGTTGGTTCTACCTTCCAGAGATATCCAATAATGCACAACCCTCTCACATCTTCAACTCTATTCTTTACCCCCCAATTTCTGCCTATCAAATTATATGTGTCCTTCACATATCAGCCTCCAAATGCCTCCTACCTTTGGCATCTAGGGGCAAGGATTATTTCCTCTGAACTATAAACAATTTTTGCACATTTTTTCACAACTCCTGAGGCATTTGACATCATCACTAAGTACTCGACTTTTGTATATATCACCTCTTGTGAATTTTCATGTTCATTTTCCTTACACAACCTATTTACTTAAAAAATAGTTTTTAAATGACTGAAAGGAACCATCCATCCACTCATAACCAATGACTGATACCCAGACCTGGCAGGGGCCAATGGAAAGTGATTCAGAAGTGATGGAATGATTCAAACAAAGAGAAAAACACCAAACACACTTTACATTTTGTGTGCTGATTTTTTAATGAACATCTTATAATCTTACAAAATAACTGGCTGTAGCTGTTTTACGTTACAATACAGTAGATCAGCTCCTTTCACTATGTTTTCAATCAAACTGTCCCCTTGGTGCTGACTGACACACTCAATAGTGATCACACAGAATAGAAGTGTCAAGTCCAATGCTGTACAGTGGAGGGATGGGAGGGGGCATCGAGAAGGGCTCCTGATGTCTTTTCCTGTTGGACTCTGTCCATTCTCCCTACTCTAACTTCTCCTCTGTCTCTCTCTGATTGGAGGCTGCCATGATAGTCATTGGAGTCAACTAGCCCTAGGCAACCTGGGCACTAGTGCCCCTTACTGCTAGGAAAAAGAAGAGACAGAGAGTGATTTTGGAACCAAGAAACAGAAGAGTCCCTGGGAAAGGCCTTCAATGACCTCATAGGTGGGTAAGAGCAGCAGAAAAACCAACACATAGAGCAAGTGTGAGTTGTCCCTGGGATCTGTGGCCATGATACCGGTACTTTGACTCTCGGTGACCTAAGGTGCTCACAACACTTGGCCAGTGAGAAGGACTGGGAGAACCTGCCACCTCTGAATGCCCACAGCTGGGCAGCCTCAGCCTCAGCCTGCTCACACTGGGAATTGTCCTCTCTATTTCTCAGGGTGGTGGTGAGTAAATTGCAGATGTTACCAACAGAGAGCAAAGTACTTTAAAATGAAGTATAAGACAGAAACCTTCTCACCATTAGTCTTATGGAGAGATGAATCCCAGCGCCTGCTGGCCCGATTCACAGGCTCCTTGTTTCTTATTGGAGGTCAGGTCTCCCTGGGCTGGGTAACGCCCAAGATAACGAGGGCTCTGCCTCAGTAGCAGGAAGGATTGCCCAAAACAGAGCTTGACATGTGTCGAGAAATTTGGATATTTTCCCCAAGAAAACAATTTTGCAAAGTTTGTGTATCTGTATGTTTAAATGGAGAACCTAAACTTTTCCATTGTCCTTTCCATATTAAAACCTATGAGGACTATTTCTTGTCTTCTTAGGGGCACCAAGGGTGACCTAGGCAGAGAACGGTATTTAGGCTACAGTTTCCCTAGTGGCTAGAATACTGGGGACAAGGGGTTTTCGGGTGCAAACTCTGCCCCCCACTTCCCAATGCCTGAAGCCTTTGTTCCACACAACACAGACAGATGTGTGCAGATTGCTCTATCTTCATTTTTTCCATCCCTGATATTATTTCTTGTGCTGAGTATGGATAATATTTTGATAGTAGTGGATAATGTTTTCCTTGTTTTTTGAAAAGCCATTGCTTCAGTGTTGATGAGAGGAGTAGAAGACTTGGTCAGAACAGAAAGCAACAGTGTAGAGGCGATGGCTGAGCTCTAAGGTTTGCCTGTTCCTGGTTTTCCCTGGAGAGGAAACTCTGAAGGAAACAGGCTCAAGGCCCTTCCTAAGGTAAGACTGAGCATTGAGTAGAAATTGGCTCCTTCCTCTCTTTCCCCAAGGCCTAACCCAGAAACTATTAAAAAAAAAATAACTACCATAGGCCATGTGCAAAAACAAAACAAAAGAGTCCAGGATGCAAAGAGGCAGGGCCAATGCAGTCACTCCATGTGCTGCCCATCTATCCACCAGGAAAGGAGAAAGACAACAAAATGGACCCTAAATAGTTGAAATTCTTCTTTCTCCCACAGAGTGTCAGCCTTGCTCCATGTTGTTTCCATGGCTTGCCCAGTTGAAATCTCTGGGTCACAGGTTTTATGCACCCACTTGAATAAAATTCATTGAAGACTCCGCAATGCTCAAAGGATCCACTGTGAACTTTGGAGTCTTGGAACAAGGACCAAATTTCCTTGACTTGTTCCATCCTGTCACTCTTGGCCCTGATTTAACCTGACCCCTCACCTCTCCATGGCCTCCTTTGGCTCCTCCATCCCCACCTGTTCTTCCATCTCTTCCCATCCTTCTCCTGGGTCATTTTTAAAACGTTTTCCCCTGCAAGATCAACAGCTAGTGATGTGGGTGTGCATGATGAACAGGCTTGGGGAATTCTCACAAAAAGGCCAAGTACAAAGTGTGTGAGTTTCTGTGATCCTGGTGCTCAGAGGATGAGCCCGAACACAAACTTGCTGACCGGCTGGTGGATGGCCACATTGGAATAGGCACATATGAAAGTGTAGAAAATCCAGATGACAATTCTGAGAAATGGGGAGGAAACACTACATTCTTTTTTGATAGATGCTTAAGAACCACTGCCTTGTTCCCCTGGACCCACCCCCAGTGGATGTCACACCCAACTTCCCATGCCTTTTAGTGCTATCATTCCAACTCCCATCCCCTTTAAGTGGGCCCAGTTCCCAGGGCATAAAAAGATGATTAGCTGGCATGCTAGCATACAGAATCCTATCTGATCTCCCTCTCCTCCACTTCCCATTTAACCTGCCAATCCCTACACATAGAAATATGGCAGAAGAACTTGTGTCTGTCCTCAAAGCCTCAGCATTCATTTTGGACATGAACTTCACAGCAGCATGTGTGGAACAATGGGTAATTTTCAGCTTAGTAAACAGCAAAAAATATAATATATAATATATTTATATAATTATGTTTAAATACTTATAAAGAATTATTAACTAACCTCATTATTTAAGAGAGACTACACAAAAGGAAGGGAAAGGCCAGTTTAGAGCAGACAAGCCCTGAAAGGTGACAATCCATTTGAAATGGGCATTGACAGAGTGTCCCTGGCAACTTTCCTTCTAGCATTCTGATAATAGATTACACGTTTGGTGGGGCTGAGCAGTCAGTGGGGTGCAGAGTGGGGAGTCGGGCAGGAGCTAAGGTGGGTGGAGTAGAATATTGATGGGGAGGAGGGTCCTTGTTTATCTATCTGATTTCTCCTTCCTCTTTTAATCAACTGCCAGTTTAAAGAAACTTTTGCCTATAATTTTTCCCTACTTGGACTAGTTGATATGTTAGTTGACACCTATAAATATCCTCTCGTGTTTCTTAACAGATGGTCCACACGCTCTCCTTTCTCCACTTGGTGACCTTTCTCCTTCACCTGCCCTGTGTTTCTTCCTGTGGAGGCCTCTCACTCTGCCTGCCTCCAGGGCAGAGGAGGGACGGGCTCAGTCCCAGGTCCCACAGTTACTGATTTTCTTCTGCCTTGGGGTCTCGGCAGGTGCACTCATCCTGGTCACAGTCAGCAGCAAATGGAATGACCTAGGGGAAGGAAAGAGAAGTTGAAATAACGGGTGTGTGTGCCAGGTGCCACATGTTTCCACTGGCTTCCACGGTTCTCACTCGATCCTGGAAGAAGTAGGATCACAATTCAGTATCACAGAGCTGGAATGAACACTCAGTCATTTCAGACCATGTCATTTCAGACAAGATTGTCCTTCTTCACTTTGCTTTCTCCATACAGAGAGTGAGAAGGACGACAGAAACAGAGTGTGTGGTTTAAGTGAACTGAAGGGTGTGAGATGCTCATCATGGCCAGACACCTAAAGTGACTACTTCTAATGATACCTCGTATGTCTTACACTATTGTTTTTGTTGCTGTTAACATCGTCACAATATTCCTGAGTGTTGGAGGGATTGATGTTGGCTCATTCCCTCCTAGGAAAGGCAGGGCTACCTGTTTTAACTCAGGACAGTGGAAGGACTATGTGGAAAGCCAGCTCTGGAGATTGTCTCTCTGGCTCCACTCTTCAGTGCTCTTGGGGCACTAGGATCATCTTTGACATCTCTAAACACATGAAGTCTTGCTTTCCTGAGCCCAGGATATGCTTTGGCATGGTGCCACCCACTCACTCTTTGTGGTGGTATTGCTTCCTTTTGTGTAATTCTCCCTTCTTTGTGCCAGGAGTGGTCAAGCAAAAGTTGTCTTCTTTCTGCTTTCACTGATACCAGCAGATGAGCACCCTATTTGAGTGTCTATAACCAGCATCAAAGAGAACTGGACATTTTGGAAACATGGTGTAAAAGATCAAAATGCATAAATGCATTCTACTGTCATGTATAACTAATTAAAACAAATAAAAAATTAATTTAAAAAAGTTAGATATTTTACCCTCTGGCCACTGGCAATCAAATGAGATAAAATTGAATAGACATATCATGTACAAGACTGGTCCAAGTACACTGGAGAGATGGGCTCGGGATTGGGCAAGTGGATTAGAGAATGGGTGGGGTTGTTTGGGGAAGTATCCCAGCATATT